AAAACATCTCCCTCAGAGATTTCAAAAAACGCTATGAATACTGGAGGTGAACCTTTAGAATTCTGTGCAACTTGGGTTAAAGCACTGTGTCTGGTCCTTTGTTGAGGGAAACCAAAAATAGAAATAATGAATCATTATATGGCTGTGTTTGATATGGCTCCCTTCCCTGTGTCACAGTTTCCCATGGGAGCAATAATCTCTCCGTCCTGAACACAGTGTTGCATATATAAAATATTTTCGATCAGAATGGGCATGTTCGTTGCAACCAGAGCTTTCCTTGCAATCCTCACTAGTTCAGAAAGAAAGGTTCTGCAAATCTTTTTTTTTTTTAATCACTTATCAGTATTTTTTCCTCCATTTCTTTTCTTCTAATGGGAACCTTTTGCTTAGCTTCGTTGTATTTGAATATATAGTACCCTGACGCTCGGTTCTGAGAGAGATTGACAGCAAATAAGCATGCAGAATGGTGCAGGTACATGTGATGAAAGCTGATGCAGCTGTCAGGGATTTCATTTTTCATATTTGTGCCTCAGGATTGGCTGTTAGTACACAGCCAACCAGCTCATTTCAACACTGCAGTGCTGTGCATAAGAGATGAAGTATGAGTAAGAGATAACATAAGATGAGCCTGCTAAATCAGGCCAATGGCTCAGCATCTATCCCAGCATCCTGTTCTCACAGTGGCCAACCGGATACCTGGACATGAGTGCAACAGTATTCTGCTCACCTGCCTAGTTTCCCAGAAACTGATACTCAGATGCATGAGGTCTCTGACAGGGGAGGTCATGGCGAGTAGCCCTTGATAGCTTTGTCTGACACAAATATGCCTAATCCTCTATTTAAAGCCATCTACGTTTGAGGTCATCACTGCTTCCTGTGAGAAGTGCCAACATGCTGCATGAAAAAATTATGTCATCCTACAGACTACCCACCATAGAGCTTATGTATGGCAGTTCAAATGTACACCAGTGGTACAGTGGAACTTTCTGATGTGCAAACTTTCTTCATGACAGACCCTACGGCCACATCTCCATAGCCACGTCCATTCTAAAACTATTATACAAGGGGGGAAGGGGGAATTAACCAACCTATTATGGCTGTAATACCAAGCCAGCTTTCCCCCACTTTGCTTGAAATTCATAAGACAAACCTGCAGGAGCAGTCCAATGGCCCATCTAGTCCAGTATTTTCTTCTGACAGTGGTCAACTAGATGCCTATAGGAAGGCAGCAAGCTGGAGTTGAATTCAAAAGCATTTCCCCCAGTTGTAATTCACAGCCAGGGCTGGCCCACCCATGAGACAAGGCCTTGGGCGGCAGAATCCACAGGGGCAGCAGATCCCAATGTGGATCTTTATCCCATCCCCCTTGTTCTCAATGTAGAGAAAAAGAAGAAGAGTTTGGATTTGATATCCCGCTTTATCACTACCTGAAGGAGTCTCAAAGTGGCTAACATTCTCCTTTCCCTTCCTCCCTCACAACAAACACTCTGTGAGGTGAGTGGGGCTGAGAGACTTCAGAGAAGTGTGACTGGCCCAAGGTCACCCAGCAACTACATGTGGAGGAGCGGAGACGCGAACCCGGTTCCCCAGATTACGAGTCTACCGCTCTTAACCACTACACCACACTGTAGAGGTTCACGCTCCTCTTCTTCCCTAGCAGGGAGGAGGCTGCCATTTTGTGGTTTGCCTCAAAGGTCCATATGTCTTGGGCAGGCCTTGTTCACAGCAACTGGCATTCAGAGGCTTGCTGCCTCCAACAGTGTAAGTACGACATCTCGCCTGATGAAGAGTTCTGGTGGACTCAGTAGCTTGGTGTATGACATTTTGGTTGGTCTTAATTAATGGATTTTGGAATTTTTGAAATTTAATTTAATTTAAGCCTTAGCCCTGCCAATGGAACCTATTTCTTCCTCTGTTTCCACTGAGAAAGGCTTCTTTATTTGGCATACGGAAGACGGGCAAATAGAGACCCAGGAAATGCCGTTGCCAATCCTGCAGGAAAATAAGTCATGGGGCTGCTCACTCCTGCTCCAACACCTCACTTAGGTAGACTGAGGTACAGTGATATACAGTGAATACAGTGGTACCTTGGGTTAAGAACTTAATTCGTTCTGGAGGTCTGTTCTTAACCTGAAAGTGTTCTTACCCTGAGGCACCACTTTAGCTAATGAGGCCTCCCGCTGCTGCCGTGCCGCTGCTGCGTGATTTCTGTTCTCATCCTGAAGCAAAGTTCTTAACCTGAGGTACTACTTCCGGGTTAGTGAAGTCTGTAACCTGAAGCGTCTGTAACCTGAAGTGTCTGTAACCCAAGGTACCACTGTAATACTTCCACGTTGCTAAGAATCAGTCTAATTTTTCAGTTTGAGATAAAAGCATAAGGGCCCCTTACAGTCAATACTGAAGAAAAGATGACTCAGGAGACTTGTGGCACAGAAACCAAGGCACAGGGAAGAAACTTGGCCAGATATTTTTAATGTCATTCAGCTTGTCCTTGGTGAACTGCCAAAAGGGTAAAAGGTGAAGCAGAGCAGACATTTGTGCACTGCATCAGAACAAGTTGGAAACAAGAAACTTCTCACAATGTTTGAGAACTTCCTTTGCAGCAGCCCTGTAGCCAGATTTCCTTATTGGGTAGGATGACCACATTTCTGAGTGCAGCGTTTTTTGTGGGGTGGGGAAGCACATGGCCCCAGCCAACTTCCCGCTCTACTCACTTGTGGGAGAGGATGTGGGAAGGCCAGGGGGAGGGAAAGGTAGTGATCTTTCCCCTTACTCCTTCTCTTCCATGCAGAGTAAAATTCATATTTACATAGCCCATTATGTAGGTTAACAGAAAATTTAGTTTGAGCACCAGGCATTAAATGACTGGCATATTTTTTTGCTTTATAAGAAAAAAGGATGTTAACGATACAGTGAACAAGGTGATACTGAAAGGTATAAAACAAACAAAATAGTTATGCTCTTTGCAAAGTTAAAGACTTGTGTGGAGTTTGTTTTTTCAAAAATTCAATCTAATCTTGTTCCTGACCTTCAGATTTCCCTTCCTGTTAACTGGATGTTATACAAAGTACTAACTAAAACAACTGGAAACTAATTGTGGAATGCAAATGGAATTTTTAAAAACTGGTTGCTGCATTCATTTTTCTGCCCAGAAACTCTGAAAAAGCCTCATACTGAGCTTCACACATTGGGGAAAATAAGAAATTAGGCCTGAACAACCAGTCAGTTAACTGTAGAGTGTACACAGCCATGTTTTTATTCCTCTAGGGCTGTTTCATTCTTTGCCATCAGGTACACAAGAAAAAGAAGAAGAAATAGCCACTCTGATTGTGAGTACAGTGGTACCTCGGGTTAAGTACTTAATTCGTTCCGGACTTCCGTACTTAACCTGAAACTGTTCTTAACCTGAAGCACCACTTTAGCTAATGGGGCCTCCTGCTGCCGCCGCACTGCCAGAGCACGATTTCTGTTCTCATCCTGAAGCAAAGATCTTAACCTGAAGCACTATTTCTGGGTTAGCGGAGTCTGTAACCTGAAGCATATGTAACCTGAGGTACCACTGTATAGAGAGTGCTTTAAACGAGTAAAGGGTAAGTTAGGGTAGATATTTTTATCAGATTGCTTTCAGTTATCTCTTTATCTCACACTTTAGCAATAAGCACCCAGTTCTGCGCTACTCATCTTAATAACTGCAGAATAAACAAACTCTTACTACTCCTGCAGGCATACAAACATGCCTCTTCATTACCGGCTGCGTTAAGAATGCAACTGAATCTGGAAAGCAGAACAAATTCAAGGGGTGGAGTCTTAATGCTAGCCCATAATACAAAGTTCTAATATTTAACTTGTCAAAGGTTATGGTACTATATAGGCTGGGGTTGTTGTTTTTTGGTCAGGATCAATTAAGTAAGTATAGGGTGGTTGTGATAATGAAAAATCCATTCTTAGGGAAAGTCTTGCTTGAGCAGACTTGGGGTTGTCTCTTCCAGATGATGCTTATTTTGTGCACTTTCCCTGCCTTATTCACCGAATTTTTCAGAGTATCCTATTCTTAAATTGCTCCTGTAACAAATTAAAAAGATAATTTTACTACAACAAATCTGGGGATGGGGGGGCTGTGGCAAAACACAACTCTAGGGGGATGGTGTACCCTGCCTACGGAACTACTCTGCACCCTTCAGTATTTTCCTCCATTTCTGCTGGTAGTTTACATGTCTTCTCCTTAATTCCACGTTCTTCAAATGAGGCCCTGCGGCAAACAGGATCAAGACTTCTCATGTCCCCCCATTAGCTGCCCCATGAATGGGGGGAAAGGCACCTGTGTCAGCCACCATCACCATGATCGCTCACAGAGAGAAGTTCTTGGCACCTCTCCTTTGTTCAGAGGTCCTAGCAAAAGTGTAAGCATGTGTGTTCCCAAGTAGGAGAAGCTGAGTCACTGCAAACAGGAGCTGAGCAGGAAAAGCAAACAGTGCCTCGTGCATTCTGGATTTTTGAGGGCATATTTACTGAGCAGGTGACATAGGAGGTACTGAACTCCATACCAGCAGCCATCAAGGTCATACGGAAAACCTCGGTGCCCCTAAGTTAGATTTAAACATCATCAGCATCAGCATCAACAACAGCTTCCTTTTTGGAGGTTGCCATTATAGGTGTTTGTTGCCTAGAAGAGCAAATATTAGAGACATGTTGCCAAGTTTCATGAAAAAAAGTGTAGCGGTTAAGAGCGGTGGACTTGTAATCTGGTGAACCGGGTTCGCTTCCCCGCTCCTCCACTTGCAGCTGCTGGGTGACCTTGGGCTAGTCACACTTCTCTGAAGTCTCTCAGCCTCACTCACCTCACAGAGTGTTTGTTGTGGGGGAGGAAGGGAAAATTGATTGTTAGCCGCTTTGAGACTCCTTAAGGGGAGTGAAAGGCAGGATATCAAGTCCAAACTCTCCTCCTCCTCCTCCTCCTCCTCCTCCTCTTCTTCTTCTTCTTCTTCTTCTTCATAGGTGTGATGGAGAGTTCTTCCGTAGAAAGTGACTTGCAAAACTTTCATAAAGAAAAGAAGCTTTATGCAGTTGATTCTTTGAACAACTTAAATGAACAAAATCTTTGTGCAGATCGATATCGGCACGCCGGTATGTATGCTGCAGACCATTTGTCAACCACCTTCCGGGATATCAGATTAACGCTACTCATTTTGTGACTTATTTGTTTAGATAAATGTGTTCTCAGGGTGGTTTAGTAAAAAGGACCAGGTGTTAACTGTGCATCTAAACCATGGGTAGTCAGTGTAGACTTCAACTTGAGTCAGCACCTTGCAAGGTTAAATTAACAAGTTGGCATTCACAATAGGTGGACAGCGTGGTTTGTGTGAGAGACATAGCTTAAATCTATCTGTCTTCTGTGTACATTTTAAAGATAATAGTTCAAAATATATGACTATAGGTTCATTTACACAACTGTGCAAAACTATGATTTTATTTGAAGATGGGGCTTAGTGGTGATATATATTTTCTTCCAAGGAGTGAATTTTGGCAGCTGCCATTTGTCGTGCCAAAGTGCTCCAGGGGTAATAAAAACTGCAGCGGCCAAAAAAATCCGTTCTGCACAACAGTTAAAGAACGGTACAGAGACTCTGTCTTCTGTTTCCTTTGATTTTTCTGTTATATGATAATATCACTGATTTATGAATAAACACTGAACTGGTAGTGATTGCATTCTACTAAGCTGCTTTGAGTTACTCTGAAAATAAAACAGGGTTTTGTTTTGTTTTTATAAATAGAACAATATGCTGAGGCTGTTAAAAAATTGTTAATTGTCTACTTGTTCACTGCTTTTCAGGCTATGAACAATGTGCTTCGTCCATTAGCTGCTTTCAATGTGTACCTCTTTCTTTCTCTAGAACTTTTTAGCTGCTGTATATTTCCCAGCTGAATTAATTAGCTGCATGCGCAGCACAATCCCACGCATGTTCCCAGAGAAGTCAGTCCCACTGTGCTTGCTCCCAAATCAATACATTTAGGACTGCCTTAAAACGCCATATTTATTTATTTGATAGATCTTATATTTCACGATTCTTCCATCATGGCGTTCCCAGATTGTCCTCCATCCAGGCACTGACCAGACCTAGATCTGCTTAGCTTCATCGAGTTGGCTATGTCCTTTGTCTTCAGAATGTGCCCTTAACCAGCTTGTCAGAAGGATATGAGATTTTCATTTTGTCTGGTGCTTCTATTTCGATCTGAATCATTGGACTCTAAACTTCACTGTTTCGGGGATGGGGAGCCTGTGGCCCTCCAGAATGAATGAATGAATGAATGAATCTTTATTTGCATCAGCCATCGGCCATAGCAATAAAACAACAATACAATATACAAAGAATAGAAATAAAAAGTTAATTATATAAAATACATTTTAGGGTTTTGTGTGGCCCTCCAGATATTGTTAGACTCCAGCTCCCATCATCTCTTACCATTGGCCTCGCTGGGTGGAACTGATGAGAGTTGAAGTCTAACCGCATCTGAAGGGCCACTGCTTCCCTCTCCTTGGTTTGAAGAGGAGGAGATGCAACCATTTCTGGGATCATCGTTTCTTCAGCAGGGGCTCAGTTGACCATGATATTCTCTTGACAAGACAGATAAGTTTCCCCACTCCATATAGCCACATCCGATCGTTTTTCAGTTGCTCCACCCTAATTTTATTCTCATGTGTATTTGTCTCTACTGTACACATGGTAACAAATATTATTTTTAGCTCTCTGCGCTCAACTCCCTTGCAGTGTTCTGAAAGTTCTTTGGAAGTTATTGTCTCTTGGCAGCATTCCACATTTTGATGCTGGAACAGATACAGAATCCTGTGGCTTGTCCTTAACTTAGAAAGCGTGCCTATATACAATTTGTCTGAAAGTTCTCAGTAAAATGTGTGCTGTAGAATGGTTTGTTTCTTATCAAATGGACAGGTGTGTCAGGACTATGTCTAAGTGTCTTGGGTCCTTCAGCATGGTGCTTTTTGCCAGGCTGCAGCTTTTTCCTCTAGGTCACATCACAACCAACTCTGCCCTCCAAACACAGGCTTTGTCCTTCTAACTCTCTAAGAGCTGGAGGAGGGGTCCCAGCCATTTGTCATCTGGCATGGAGCCCCCTTTCCTTTGTTATCTTAATGGCCCATTGCCTTTCTTTTGTTCTTTTGTTTCTTTTGTTATCTCACCAGGAACCTAGCCTGGCTGGATTAGCTTTTAACACTTGCTAGGATTATACAGGTATCACACCCAGAAACTCATAACAATATTATAAAACATGAGAGAGGGTGTGTGTCCGTCCTGATAACCCGTATTATGTGGTGCCGCTCAGCGCTGCTAAGGGCTTCCAGTATGGTGAATTCATCTTAGCACTAGAGTTTGCAAATCAATGCAGGCTTTGAGTTTTTAAAGGACTGCTTCTCAGAGCCATTTGTTTTCGCTTTGTTTGACTTCAGTGGGCTGCTCTCCAGCATGCGGTTTGGGAATGCAGCCTTGGAGATGTGTGCTCTTGCCCTCTAACATTCAGACAGATGCCCTCTTTATGGCTGTCAGCTGTTTTTATGCAGGAATCTGTGATCGGCTTTCTAAATTGCAAACATCCTTAGGAATTTTTTAATTATGTTTTCAAGTAATGGTTTTATGAGATTTTTTAAATGCCCCAATTAATGCAATGCCTTTGTGTATGGTAAGATAAATATGAAAACTGAAATTTCTACATTATTTGTTTTGTTTATTACATTTATATCCCACTTTTCCTCCGAGGAGTCCAAGGTGGCATACACTGCTTTCTTCCTCTTCATTTTTATCCTCACAGCAACCCTATGAGGCTAAAGGGGCTCAACATGGGTGATATATAACGCAGCAAGCCTGGAACCATTTTAAATGAGCTTCTGAAATAGGTGCCTTCAATTTAGCCTGGGTAGAGAAGCAAGGCTGTATTTCTGTTTTGGCCAAGAATACAGCAGCGCCACACTGTTAGCAGCTTGGCAGGGTTTCTTGCTCACGGATGGTTTTCAATACTTTAATCTAAATTCTCTTGGCCAGCTCACTTTCTAAGGACTGCCCATTAAGCAGAGCGGACAAGAGACATTTGTTAAAGATAGCTTACTGTGTTTGAAAGCCCACCCTAAGGGTATTCCACATTTCATTCCTGTGACTGGGAAGCTGCCTCTATCGTGATGGAACTCAATAAACTTAACACATAATAGGTTTGTTATGAAATGGAGGAAATGGGGGAAAGAGGGGGACAACTATTAAAAGTCTGCAAACTTTGGTTTCTCCTCAGGCAGGAAGATTTGTGTTAGAAAAATTAGGCTTGCTCTCAAAATTTGTCCAGTACAGCCAACTCGTCAAGTAGGGATTTATGCTAGTCCACTCTGTTGATTCTCTGAGGGCTTTCTGTGACAGATACTTTAAAAATGGTTCTGTTCATGCCTGGCAGAGAAAAACCAGGGCAGTTGTGGGGAAACTTTGACCCGCCAGATTTCCTTCCATGCCTAGCCATGTTTGCTGGGGCTGATGGGAATTGTAGTTCAATAACAACTGGAAGGTCAAAGGTTCCCCACACCTGTCCTAGGAGGTTGTTAAAAGTCAGCTACTTATTATGTCGTCACAATTTTCTCTGTGCCTCACGTCCAGTCAAGAGTGAGCCAAGAAGTCAGAGTCAAAGGAAGGCAGAAGAAAGCACAGCAAAGTCAGAAATATGTTATCGTTCAGCCAAGGACCCCAAACAAGCAGCCTCTTATAGCCTTTCCTGTCCAGTGACCAACCTGGAATCAATCCAGGACCAGAATTGCTCTTCACATGGGCAACCGCAGGTGGAAGACATCTTGCACTTTTTACTATATGGCCCACTATACACTGGACCCAGGAGGCGATTTCTCACCTGACCGTACAGGAAAGATGTCTCTCCCCAGCAGAGAAGGTCCTATGGCTTCTCAGCAATGTAAACGCTTCAGTGACTCATAAAGTCACCCTTTTTGGTGGCCAAAAAGATCAGAAAGACGACTCTGGACCAGGCTTCCTCAAACTCGGCCCTCCAGATGTTTTGAGACTACAATTCCCATCACCCCTAACCACTGGTCCTGCTAGCTAGGGATCATGGGAGTTGTAGGCCTAAAACAACTGGAGGGCCAAGTTTGAGGAAGCATGCTCTGGACAATTTAGCAGTGAACTGTAAGGGAGACACAGAGACCTAAATAGAGACTATTATTTGTGGCACGGCACCCCTTTTGCTTGTATTTATTTTTGATTCAGATTTGTCATGGCCAATGGCTAGTACAATAAAGTTATTTGGATTGGTTGGCTCCCCACATGGGCCAATCATACACAAGGACACATCTGAAGTAACAGTCTATTGAGTAAGCACGTGATGCATTTTAAGTCACTTTTTAAGTGAATAATTGCTTATGACGCTGAAATTAAGAGTTTCTTGAATGACATTGTCAGAGCTGGCTCCAGGTCCCAGCTCACAGAGGACCAACGCTAGCCGGCAGTAATGTACAAAAGTCTTTATTGAAGTACAGTTTCCATTTTCAAGCCGCAGCGCCCCAGCTCTACGTCTAGGGGTTAGATCGGCGAGCTCCATCTGAGTCTCCGCCCCTGTACACCAGTTTAAGATTCTAGCCTTACTCCACCTCTTACGTCTCTCCTTTCTCCTCTGGGTCCTGCTACCCCCCGGGGTCCCTTCCTTCCTGGATTCTTCTGACGCTGACGTTGACCCCCTGACTCCTCCCCTCTTTTCGGCGGGCTTTGGGACCTGGCTCCCTATCCGGGCTGCCAACTGCGCCGCCCTCCTGTACATTTGAACTTGGCGCGCGCCCAGCCTTCAACCTTCCTCTCGACCGTTTCCTCGCTCCCCGATGGAGGCGTGGCCAATCCTGACTCATGTCCTCCCACTGGCAGTGCGCCGCCTGATCCCGATGCCTGGGACCCTCCCCCCTACTGCACTCTGGTGTGGACGCTGGTCCTGATTTCCAACTGCTGCTCTCTGAGTCCCCTCTGGCCCCTTCTTCCTGGGGTGTCCCCTCGGCACCCCCTTGCTCTGACCAAGGGAGCCCTTTCTGTGAATCTTCCGATTCGCTGGAAAGACTCAGAGACCTCGGACCGCTGTCATCGCTAACATTTCCTTCGGACTCCTCCCCCTCGCTCTCTATTTCCTCCCTTTCCTGTGCCTCTGCTCCTGAACCCCTGACAGACATGATGGTGGTGCATTACTTAGCAGGGGGAATACATGGCTCCAGTTCAGAAATTATTAGCATTTCTCATTATTGTATTCTTAAAACCAGAACCAACTTGCTATGTTTATTCTCAAAGGCCATTGCATGTTTTCCTCTTAGAGTTTTGTCTTTGTTTTACAGCAGTCTGGGAAGAGAACTTACACAGTCGGAGGTGTTTGACAATTCAAAACAGCATGAGATGCCAAAGCTGGTTCTTTGTCACATTGATCATTACTTTAATTGTCAGCTTGGCACTAGTTTCTTTTGTAATAATCTTAATAGGTAAGTAAGTTTGCCTTAGTTCTTACGATATCGATTGCAAGGGGAGGATAGGATGGAATTTAATGGCCTAGATTCTATGTGTTTTGTAGCATGCTCTCATCTTTGATATGCAGCACAATGGATAAATGAATAGATGAATGAATGAACGAACAATGCTCACAGTGGCAATAAAAAAGTATTTTAGTATAAAGCTGTGTGAATAGGTAAGAAGCTGATCTTATGTGAATGGAAATCTAAAACCCACCATCCAGTCAACATTGCCTTGTTTTGCAACTGGCAGGGAGGGAACAGGTGGTTTATATTAAAAGAGACTTGGGTAATGCAATTTGATCTCCCTTCATATGGTGTTTTAGAAATGCTATGTGATTCTCCTGTTCCTCTCCAACCCCCTTCTCTCTCTCCTTTGTACTTTCCTAGGATAGGCATGGGAAAGAATGAGAATGGGAGTATGTGGGCGTGTAAATTGTACAGTTGGTGTGACTTTGGCTGGAAGTTTGTTTGAGGTGGGCTAAATTCTGTACATGAAAAGGGAGGAACTCAGAGGAATTTGGGAATTATGATTGTCACAAATGGTAATACAAAGGCAATGTTTTGAAATTATAAATCACATGATATAATAAAATGTATAATATTGTAGGGGGGGGTTAAAGTCATTTAAAATGGAGAACTGCTGCTGAAATGTTACTCCACGAAGGCAGAGATGAACACCAAATAAATGCAGAGGAACACAGTCTTTGGCTCAGTGGATCAGGGTTCGTGTGGATGCCAAAAAACTATTAGTCATGATTTTCTGATAAAAATGTATATTTGCTGCTGTCCCCCACTCTTTAGCACAGTTAACTTTGCTTGGGACATTGCAAAGTAATAAATGCAGCAGTCTTGTAAACATAAATGTTCTTAAAACCTTGCTTCACCATTCATACATTAATTTCAGCCTTCACCTATGCCTCGACTCATTGTGCCTGGAAGCAGGTTGCTTCAGCCTGCTGAGGAGAAGGGTGCAATTTCCTGATTATGCAATTTCCTGTATTATGAACCATATTCAATCTGACAATCTGAGTGCTGGTTTAAACATTGCCTTTTCTTCCATAGTTCACACTGGAGACAAGATGGATGAAGTGTCAAGAAAAATAGTGCTAGAAAAGAAGAGCATTGAAGACCTTAAGGAATTAAACGACATGATTTTGCAATACCTTAATCAGACAGAATGGGTGGGGAGTATAGGAAACTTCAGCACAAAGCAAGCAAGGGAACCAGGTCCAGGCTATTGACTAAGGGAATACTGAGCAGCTGGAAGGATCAGGAGAGTGTGCCATTTTTGCAATAAAATCCACTCTCAGTATACTTACCTAATTCCTGACATCTGTGCAACAAAGCTTTTTATCAATCATTCTGCAGGCTCCATAACTCTTAATAGTGAACTTTAAAAAGCCTGCTAAGCATTTGTTTCTAGAACTGTGGTGCATAGGTTCTTGCTCATTCCTTTGGTTATTTATATGGATGAACTTAGTTAAAATACGTCTGATTTTGAGGTGATGCATCTAGATCCCACACCTACAGACACTTGCAGATGGCGCAACATCCTGTATTGTGGTTCCCGTTTCTTGTTCAGTATAAACATAAAAATTAGCATCTGCTTTCTCTAAAGTTGCATATGTTTATAGTGGCACATCATAAAGTGTCTGCTTTGTCTTGTGTTATAAAATTTGTAAGTGACGGTAGATGGGATTTACTCCTTTGTGAAGCACACTTTTAGGTTTTTTTATTATTATACAATTAAGGCAAGCCTTGATTTGCATCAGTGCAAATGTTTGGCTGGTTTCACACATGTGTATACATCACATACTTTCTCAACACTTTAAGACTCTCAGCCAAATGTGTGAATTGTCTCTGTTGAAAAGCATTGTTTGAGATGACATCTGGTGATATGAAAGTTCTATCTATAGTGATTAATCTGTTCAATGGAGGCTGCTTGATCCCAGACATAGCACCGGGTAGATCCTTTTGAAAGTCTCTCCCAGCTGTTATTGCCCGCTAAATGTTCTACTTACAGTAAACAGCATTTGGGAGTAAAAAAAATTGGCATTAACCAATTGCATATCCCAACGAAGTGTAGGTGAGTTCCCACGAGGCAAGACCCAGTGATAACAGCAAGAACCTTTATCGAACCACATAACCAGGAAAAAGAGGCAAAGCAACTGCTTATATACATTTCTGAAAACCTGGGCCACTCCCACTCCCACCTTGATTGGGTGTCTAAACTTCCAAGCTGCAAATCCTGACTCAGAGTTCAAGGGCCAATGGCAGAGGCCCAAATCCTGAAATGTTCTGTGATTGGACATCATGTATCAAATCAGAACACAGGAGCTCAGAATCCTTAGTCCAGACTCAAGCTCAGGCAAACACAGACCACAGAATACATAACAGTCCCCATTCTGGGTTCAGAACACGTTCCAGATTGAAGTCCTGTGCCTGCTTTTTCTTCAAAATGAAAGTGGACGCTTTAAGCACTCTTTTATTTTGTAAAAAACATGTTTATTATAGCATGTAGCTTGGCTCTCATTGACACTATTAACTCTTTTTGTGCATAGTTCTTGCTGTGGTAATTTTCCAGAAATGCGGAAGTCTTCTTCTTGTGTGTGTTTGCTTTTTATGTTTGCATGCCAGCAATCAGGGACTTCCCCTGGCTGCACCACGGGTATACTAACACTACACAAAATGAGTGACAACCAGGCATGTATATGGGGAATATCTCCATGGAGTAGAGGTTTACCTGCCATGCTCACATCTTGTATAACTAGGATTTAACTAAAGCACCAGGAAAATGCAATCCCAAAGAAAGCAAAAGTCATTGTCAGAAGGTACAGAATCAAATACTGTATTTCTGAAATCGTGACAACTCAACGTTGTAAAAATCAGGTGCTTAGCTAAGAGTCCAGCTCTGGCATCATTACAGTTAGTGCTTCCTGCCAAAAGGGGAGGAAAAACATCCAAGCAGTTTACAGTCTGCAGCCAGTTTGAGCTTTATAACAAAGGATTCACATACAGAGATGAATCGTAAACAAGTACATTTGCTTATCAGAACCAGCTCCAGCATTTTCAGTTCAGGAGTGGATTTATATAACTGCATTTCCTGACTATTTGCTGTCTTCTAGACTGGTTTGCCACTGTTCGCAATGCACTTCACGATGCACTGATTTAAAGTCCTGAATAGCAATGAGCTTGTTCCAAAGGAATGAGACTCACATCTATGCAGCCCATTTATAATTCCGAAGAACGTACAATCTTGCAGATGAGTGGAAAGGCACATTCAACATTTATCAATAATTATGGTTTCTTTTGTTTCCCAGTTGTATCCTCTCCTTAGCAACCCTTCACTCCACTTTTATCCAGGCTGAGAAATACAGTATAGCTTACCTGCAAAGTGACAAGGCACCATTAATAAGCTTAAAGCACAAAACACTGAATCAGCTGAAGTTTGGGATTATGCCGAAAAGAGAGCAAATTACATCACATAACCACTGCACTGAAGGACCAAAATGAATCCGAAAGTCATCTTGTCCAATTTCCTACAGTAAGAATTTTCATATTGTTACAAGCTCTCTATCCTTGTCCAAGTGGGGATAAATGGTTTCTGGGGCAGAACTACAGGAGTTAATTTTCTTGGGATGAAAGAATACTCTGGAGATTTATGGCATCTTTTCAACATTTGCTTCATGTGAACGGAGCATACTGGCAGCAAATAAGTGCTCTTTCAGCAAGTAGCAGCGCCACTGATGTGGCATCAGATTGTCCCCAGGAAGCAAAACATGTTGTGCAACTTGCCTGTAGGCTGTATCCCCAGATCTGGCTAATATGAGCTAGAAACTCTCATCCCCTTTCCTTGTGCTTCTTTATGACAATTGAAACTGCAAACTTCTCCCTCTCACCCAGCCTCTTTGCTCCCTTTCCTCATTTCCGATGGGTATGTCTTTTCAAAAGCTAGAGAGCAATACCCAGCTATCAGGAGATTTTCTTTGCTCTTTAGTGCCCACTGTTGAAAAACAATCAACTCTACAAAGAGCAGCCGACTATCAGCTGTAAAAAATAGCCATCTAGAGAACAGCACATACAATCTGCAGTATAGTGTGCCATAAAAGAAAGAACAGGACCCCAGCCTAAAAATATTTATGTGCATTGATGGGTGTGGGCAAGAATATCTGCTGCTGAACAGATTGTCAATGCTTCCAGGGCTGTCAGTTCAGATAGTAGTAGTAGTAGTAGTAGTAGTAGTAGTAGAAGAAGAAGAAGAAGAAGAATTTATTATTTATACCCCACCCATCTGGCTGAGCTTCCCCAGCCACTCTGGGCGGCTTCCAACAAAAGATTAAAATACAATAGCTGTTAAACATTAAAAGCTTCCCTAAACAGGGCTGCCTTCAGATGTCTTTTAAAAGTCTAGTAGTTGTTCCTCTCTTTGACATCTGGTGGGAGCGTGTTCCACAGGGCGGGTGCCACCACCGAGAAGGCCCTCTGCCTGGTTCCCTTTAACTTGGCTTCTCGCAGCAAGGGAACCGCCAGAAGGCCCTCGGCGCTGGACCTCAGTGTCCAGGCAGAACGATGGGGGTGGAAACGCTCCTTCAGGTATATTCAGGTACTGTATAACTGTTGTAAAGAACACCAAACTCATTCACCAGAGAGCTGGATGTTTCTCTTTTCTCCCTACAGCATGCTTTTACATGAGCAGAATCCGATCCAGAAAAGCAACTTGTAAAAGTTAATGAATACCTTGCCAAGTTGAGGTGCAGGACTGAGGAAATACAGGGCCACTGATAGGTTATGTAAAAAGCAATCTTAATAGTTCAAGCAAAAAGTTATGCCACAAAAGTTAATCCTGCCGCTGAAACAAAGACAGGATTACTTATTGGCAGTTTAAGTGTGTGGCATAATTATGCCCGTAAATGCCTAAATAATGCTGATTTTGCATCATGGGGTGCTGTTGGGAATTATGCTGTACTTCATTTGCTTTCCCTCGCCCCAGGAAACTCTGAGCACTGAAGTTTTGATTTGGGCCTTTGTTCCAAGTATACTCAGAAAAATATGCTGAATATACCGTCCCACCAATCAGGCAGATTGAGGCAGCCGCCTCAGGTGGCAAAATTCCAAGGGGTGGCGCCACAAGAGCGCTCAGCCCACCTCTGCCACCGCCAGAGAAGTGAAAAGCGGTGGCGACTTCTGGTAAGATATCGCGAAATATCACAGAGTTCTCATGAGATCTCGCCACAGCTTCTCTTACTTATCTGGCTGACACCCACCCCCTTGTACTGCCACCACCAAAGAAGTAAGGAAAAGCTGTTGTGGCTTCTGGCAAGACCTTGTAGACCTTTTCCGGGAACCTGGAAGTCACACACCTGTGACCCCCGTAAGCAAGACTTCAGTGAGGGGGTGGCAAGAGATGGTGGCGGGGAAGGGAAAGCTTCTGGTTTTGTCTCAAGTGACAAAACGGGACAGGCCATCCATTTTAAAATGCCTAACATTGTACAGTAAGCGTTTTGCTGTCAACTTGGTGTTTGAAGGTTGTGAATGTCCTGTATCTAGTTTCTGTTAAAAGCAAAACAAAAGCAAAACCCCTATGCAAAGTTGTTGTTTTTTTCTGGTGGCAAACTGTCCTGTAATGTGTGGCAATATTGCTGAATATATTGTATTGTGCACTATTAAGGGAAGAAGGACCCCTGGTGGTCATGAGTTATTTAAAAGCAAGGACACAAACATTTAGGACGTTTTCACATGTGATTTTTTTTACTTATTTATTAAATTGAGATGCATGGTTTATAAATGTTAACATTGGGTGGAATCCAAGGAGCTACTTCAGGCATATAAAGAAGCTTGGCAATGCCCAATGGAACTGTATTTTTTTCCCTCTTTTGCTTGTGTAAAAAAAAAAAATTGAACAGCAGGCTGCTTTGCCATATAAGCGGCAGCTTTGGACTACTGTATTTTTCGTCCCATAGGACACACCGGCCCATAGGACGCACCTAGTTTTTTTGGGGTGAAATAAAGGGGGGGAAATTTCCTTTATTCCCCCCCCCCCAAACCAGGTTGGGGAATCCAAACCAGGTCGGGGAACAGCGGGATGGCGGCACTCCGCCTCCCCGCTGTCCCCCGAGCTTGTGGGGCTGGCACTGGGGAGAAGCGTGCTTCTCCCCAGCGCCAGCCTCCAAACCAGGTCGAGGAACAGCGGGATGGCGGTGCTGCGCCTCCCCGCTATCCCCCGAGCTTGTGGGGCTGCCTGATGTCTGCCCGAAGCGCAGGGCGCTCTGCTTCAGCGCGCCCCGCGCTCCGTGCAGCAGGCTGCAGATGTCTGACCGAAGCGTGGGGCGCTCTGCTTCAGCGTGCCCCGCGCTCCGTGCAGCAGGCTGCTATCCGCAGCCTAGGGAGCCCTGCGGGAACTCCCGCGGGCTCCCCAGGCTTGCTGATAGCTTCCTGAAGCCTGGAGAGCGAGAGGGGTCAGTGTGCACCGACCCCTCTCGCTCTCCAAGCTTCAGCGAAAGCCTGCATTCGCCCCATAGGACGCACACAGATTTCCCCTTCATTTTTGGAGGGGAAAAAGTGCGTCCTATTGGGTGAAAAATACGGTATACCCTGTTTCAAAACCAAATTGTTATGTTGTGTTTGTTGCTGGTTGCTTTTCAAGAAGACGACCAGGTGCCCCTTAAGTGTCTGAAACTAATTGCACAGTTGGGTTGTTTTTATCCAGCTGTAGTAAATAGGATACAAAATACAGCCATATTCAAGCCTTCAATTGTATGCACTTTTGCTAGGGAGTAAGTTCTATTGGATTCAGACTTATTTCTGGGTGAACATGCATGGGATTGCATTGTACAAAATGAAGAGCATGCATGCTGCTTTTCTTACTAAAACGCATGTAAGCAAGTAATATAAGCAGCAATTTCAAAATCTACTGCTTATTTTACTTTTGTTTTGTCTCATGTGTTGTTTTATGTTTTAACATTTTAAGTAGTTAGACACCATGGGAATACTTTGTATCGAAGTATATCAATCTATGAAAAAAATAAACAGAAAATAAATGCCTCCCAGTGCCATATATTTTGAAGGATGAAAGTAGCAATTTATGCATATGTATGCCCAGTATACATTATGTTTGCATTCTGCACTTGAGTACCAAAGTAGCATGAAAAGGTGCCCTTCAACTCTCTCCTAATGCTCTGATATTAACCTGAGCTCAACACAAATACTTCTAGTTTTACTGTAGTCTTTACAAGCCATTCAAGTTAATGGCTTTCATTGCAGTCACCCACTGTATGGAACTGACTCTTCCTATTCTCATACTGGAGAATTTGCATGAAGACAGTTGTTGAGCAGAGTCACATGAGGACATTTACCAGCTGGTCTCCAGAAAACTGAATGGGTGCCTGAACTGTCAAGGTTTGGGGGGAGGGACCTATGTGCAACAAATAAAAACAAAAACAAAGAAACACAAACAGGACTCTTTGCAGTTTGGAAAGTGATGGGAAAATCCATTGAAACATGGGATGAACAGATGAGAACTGGGAAGATGTGTAAACTCCTTGTAAGTAAATCAGGATGAATGCTCATTGTCATACCACCTGGTAAACCAGGCATAGGCAAACTCTGGTCCTCCAGATGTTTAGGACTACAATTCCCATCATCCCTGACCACTGGTCCTGTTAGCTAGGGATAATGAGAATTGTAGTCCCAAACATCTGGAGGGTCGGAGTTTGCCTATGCCTGTGGTAAACAAATGAGAACTAAAGTTCAGACCACTGCTATGTACACATTAGCACCTTAAAATGCAGATCTCATCCTTTTGATGTGTTTCAAGTCACACCTGCATGTTTTGTACACATCAGAGAAGGGGTGGGATTTGGTTTTCTTAACCATGCAACCCCCTCCCACCGAGCCTCCTATTCCTGAAGCTGTCTTCTGCATATAATGCACAACACCTGTTTCAAATGTATGCACCTCAACTTGACTATGAAGTGAATGTGACTTAAGTTATTTATTTAGAGGCTGATTATTGGGGAAACTTACCTAGCAGCAGTATTTCTCCAGAGATCACAGGCTAGCTGTGGCTTGTGGCTAATATTGTGCATGCACAGCTTCAAAACCCAGTGGCGAAAGCGCAATGGCTGCAGTGATATGTAAACAGTCAACCGCTGCATAAATCAGAATGAATGCTGAACAAACAGGTCTGCAGAAAACGAAGTGTTTGCACGGAATTCCAGTGGAGAGCATACAGTTCATCCACTAGGTGGCGGAAATCTGCCATCAGCAGAGAAATGGGGCGGGGGGGGGCGGAAATCACTTTTATTACAAAGGGCTGTCTGAATAAAGATAGTTGGAATAACAACTTAGTATGTATCAATTAAAATCAGTTACCTTATTGCAAGAGAGAATGTCAGAGTGAATTATTCCTAAGCCTGCCTTGTGACACAAAGGCAAAAACGTCCCTTAAAAGGTTTCTCATTGTTTCAGAAAAGGATAATTTGAATTAAATGAATTCCCCCGGCCTCTTCATTGGTAACTCTGCAGTCGCGGTCCTCGAGAGACAACTTAAGCCATACATGGAATGATCATCCACCGAGGAGCAGCGTGGCCTTGGGTGCATTTACTCAGAAATAAGGCACGCAAAAGTTGGAAGATACAGTCAGACAGGCGGCAGAAATTAAAAGAATATTAATGCGTTACATCTGTGTGTTTCCCCCTCCCATAGAGGCGTAGCTATGCCCAAGTCGCCTGCCCTGACGGCGGCAACAGGGACGTTGGAAGCAGGCTGAAACATACTCGGAGTCGAGTGGATTTCATGCTCTTTATTCAGCTCATAGTAGTGAGGAATGGAAGTTCCCCCGGAATGTCTGCTTTATATACATTATTTACACAATGGGCCCCACATGATTGGCTAATTCCGGAATTCTCCTGTTGGCCAATCAGGTTGTGGATTCACTTCCACCTGGAGCTGGATTGGGTGGCTCCTGTGGACCAATCAGACTGCTGCATTTTGGGTCCTATTGTTCTAGGACCAATCAGACTGCTGCATTCTGAATCCTATTGTTCTAGGACCAATCAGACTGCTGCATTCTGAATCCTATTGTTCCAGGACCAATCATACTGCTGCATTCTGAATCCTATTGTTCAAGAACAATCAGACTGCTGCATTCTGAATCCTATTGTTCTAGGACCAATCAGACTGCTGCCTTTTGGATCCTATTCAACTCGGTACACAACACAGGCAGAGTTGCAAGACATTCCCCCATGTGCAAAACACGTCCATCTGCGTTGCAGCAAAGGCAAAAGTATTCCCATTGTTTTAATTTTTTAAAAAAAATTGCATTGCCTGCTAAGCGGCCCAAACTCTCCCTACTGAATACAGACGTCTGGTGGAGACGCCATGAGGATTTTTATAGGGTTCTTTCAATTCCTGACGGTGCAAAATGAAGACCCCCCCCCCCATGAAACAGGAACCCCAGAAAGTGGGCTGCGGTGCCGTGCGTTACTCCGGCCCCTTTCCCGCCCGTTTCCATGGCTGCGGCTCCGAAGCGCGTGGGGGGGGGAGGCTGCCATGGCGACCGCGCCGCGCCGGGCTCGCCAGTTTCGCGCGCCTCGCCCACCGCAATGGAGCAAGGGCGCCTCTCTCGGCAAAGCCGGCGGCAAAGCGGGAGCCCGGCGCCTCCCTCGGCCGGCACGAAGCCCGCCGCCTTCGCCAAGAGCGCCGGGGCGGAGGACCCGGCCGAGGCCGACCTCGAAGCCGCCGTCTCCAAGCTCGTCTGCAGAGTGGGGCGCGTCCAGACGGAGGCGCGCACGTATCTGCACTCGGCCATAGGCTGCGAGCGGGCCAAGCGCTGGCGGGAGGTAACGGGCGCCTCTGCCTTCTCCCGGCTCGCTGGGGCGGCTGCCCGGGGGGCGCGAGAGCGCGCGTAATGGCGCGCCTCTCAAAGCTGCGCGTGGTGAATCCTTCGGGCTCCCCCGGTCGAATCTGGCTGTGGAAACCTTCGGGGGATTTATGTTCCGGATATAATCATCTGGCTTGATCCGCGCCAAAAAGTTTCACCCCAGTTTCCATGTTGGATGGGCTGCACGTTCGTTTGTGTGTGACGTAGGGTTCCATACGTCATTTCTCCATTTTAAAGAGGGACGTCATAATCTTTATCATTTATTTATTATTATTATTTATTGAATTTATAGACTGCCCTATACCCGGAGGTCTCAGGGCGGTTCGCAGAATAAAATCAAAATATAAAACCACAAAATACATAACCAAAATAAAAACAACCCCCCCCCCAAAAACCCCACACCCCACATTTTAAAAGGGCATAAGTAAGAATACATCTTTCCACACTGGTTAACTGATGCCTGTTTTTAACTTTTTAGTACGTTTTTACTGCATGTTTTTATCTATTTCTGTTGTGAATAGTTTTTGATTTATTATTATTATTATTATTATTATTACCTCACCCATCGTGGTTGCCCGGCCACTCTGGGCAGCTTCCAACATATATTAAAAACATAATAAAATGTTTAACATTTTTAAAAAAATCCCTATGGAGGCCAATCTTCAGATGGCTCAGGGGTCGCCTAACTCCTAAATCTGATGAAAACGGACGTCCTAAGGAAAAGCAGGATCATTCCGGGAGGTGAAGCTTCCCACTGCTTTCTCGTAGCAGGGAAGATGTCCTCACTCAGGGGGTCAGGTGGTTTGGCATCTCGCTACCAAAAGCACACACACCACAAGCCTTTAGACTAAAGTTTAGAGGGAGAGATGACAGTTGTTGCCACAGTGATCCATGCAATGGTCATCTCCAGGCTTGACTACTGTAATTCACTCTACGCGGGGCTGCCCTTGAAGCTGTCCCAGAAACTCCAGCGGGTACAGAATGCTGCAGCGAGGCTCCTCACGGGGTCTCTGCCATGGGAGCATATTCACCCAGTGCTTTTCAAGCTGCACTGGCTCCCGGTGGAGTACAGGGTCAGATTTAAGGTGCTGCTTTTGACCTTTAAAGCCCTTCACGGCCTAGGACCCTCGTACCCTACGGGACCGCCTCTCCTGGTATGCCCCACGGAGAGCCTCAAGGTCCATAAATAACAACACCCTAGTGGTCCCAGGCCCTAAGGAAGTTAGATTGGCTTCAACCAGAGCCAGGGCCTTTTCAACTCTGGCTCCGGCATGGTGGAACACTCTGCCTCAGGAGACCAGGGCCCTGCAGGATCTGATTTCTTTCCGCAGGGCCTGTAAGACAGAGTTGTTCCGCCTGGCCTTTGGCTTGGAGCCAATTTGATTCCCTCCCTCCCTCTCTTTCTTTTTTCTTTTCCTTCTCCTGCGATGAGGCTACATTTTAATATTTTAATGTTCCATTATTTTAATGTTGTATTTTATTTTTGTTTTTAAGTTGTAATCATTCATCTTGTTTTTATTATTGCTTGTAAGCCGCTCTGAGCCCGGCCTTGGTTGGGGAGGGCAGGGTATAAATAAAAAAATATTATTATTATTATTATCTGGGGTGAAAATTGGCAGGCTGCTGTTAACCAGGGAAAGGCAAATGGTTTCTTTCTCTCTGCCTTAGGACGGGGGTATTTCCCGCTCCCTGCTTGGGTTTTGCCACAGTTGTGCCACACTTTTTTCTCCCAACGAGCTCAAAGCTGCGTACATGCTTGTTCCCCATCTCATTTAACCCCTACAACAACCCTATGAGGTTGATTAGGCTGAGAGATTGTGACTGGCCCAAGGTCACCACCAGTGAGCTTCATGGCTGAGCAGGGATTTGAACCCTAGTCTCCCAGGTCCTAGTTCAACACTAACCACCACACCATTCTGAGACACTAAACTTTTGCATTCCTTTTAGAATTACAGTCATTTGTTTTCTTCCTTTGACACAATGGTGTGGCCAGTGGTGAAGCTGCATGCTCCGCTACCGGGGGGGCCACGCCAGCGCCCGGGGGGGGAGTGCATGGTGCGTGTCTGGGGGCCCCGCTGTGATGGCTCCCTCCGCACCCCCGTTCCTCCACCAGTGGGTGTGGCAGAGCTTGAGAGAAATGGGATGCCTATTGTGATTTTCCTTTGCTTTTCTAATAGAACTCTTTTTGAACAAGTGCTTTATAGATGAGTCATATTGGATACAAATACACACTGTTGTGTATATATATATATATGCATACATATACACAAATATACACACAATCATATTTCATTCGAATGAATCTTGCAACAACAAAAAGGAGTGACTGCTCTGACCTGCTTTTTGTTTTTGAAACAGAAATTTTGTTACTTGGACATTTTCACCCCAGCTTGAGGTCATTATGCTATTTTTATTTTGTTTTCAGGCAATTGAATACTATAGAAAGCTGCTATCTTCCTTGAACAAAATGAAGTTTCCTGCAGAATATGTTCCTGGTCATAGCTGTATACGGCTGGTAATTTCAGTTTAGCATTTAAAAGAAAAATAGGACCAACACACACACTACTAAGCACACACTTGTGGGTTTGGCTGTAAAGCATGGGTTGGTTTTTGATTGACTGATATTTTTATAATTAGTATGGTACCAAAGCTTCCTATAGCTGTTCTGGCGGTTGTTTTGTTTTTACGGTATCCAGGCAGCCCCCAGCTTACATGTGTTCAATATGTGAGCGACCATGTATATGTGCATTGCGATGAACCTGGAAGTGACCCAGAAACGTCATAAGGATGTCACTGAAACATCACTAAAAGTATGGAACGGGGTGAAGCAGAATGGTGTTTGCAGGCTTTTTCAGTGGGTTTCAATTATACGTGATTTCACCAACATGAAACGTTCACCACCTTGAAATGTAACCCCCGTGTAAATGGGTATGTGTGCCTGTAAACTATTTATATTGTCTTTTAAACACTGGGGGAATAGTCATTCTTGATTATTAGTCCCAATAGTCCTGGTTGCATTCTTATTTCATAGCACAAAATCTTCTAGTGGGTATTACTCGTTATTTTGAACTTCTGGGGCTGTTCTAATCATACCGGTACTAAAATATTATAAATAATGTGCTATCCTGGTTCTTTTATTTTAGGTGTTTGAAACCTATTATCATCTAGGTGTTGCTCTCCAAAAATTAGATTTGCACCGCGATGCTGTGGAAGCGTTTACTAATGCAATAGAAGCTGCAAATGTCCCCAAGGTATGGAACTTCCGTAACATTTGTATTATGTGTACAATTTGTACGGCGGTTCTGTATTGTAGGGAGAGAAACATATTGTTTTCATTTAATTGTTACCTTTTGAGAAGTTTAATGAATCAAAGGAATGCATTTTTAGATGCATTGTTCATGTACATAATTTTTAAATAGCATACTATTCACCCCATGATTAGGAGGAATTAGGTTAACAAGCTACTGTTGTGGTAACATTTAACAATTACTGTACATCACATGAGAACTAACACCTAAATGAGTATTTTGGCATTTTAGCAAGAACTAATTTCTCAAAATGTTAGGATATTTTATGCCGTAGTTATTCCCAAACTTTTCCCCCCACTGACAAATCGAAAATTGCTCAGAGTCTTGGCAAATTGCTTAATTTTATCTGCTTGTTGTACCAATTGTAATGTGCTATGTTAGAAACTATATGAATTGTAATTGTATCTTTATTGCTTCTTTTATTTATTATATATTTTATCATATTTCAATTTGAATTCCATAGAATACAAATTGTAGTGCAACAAAACACAATATAACACCATTGTGTGAGCAAATTTTTATTTTGAAAGCATGGTGCAGAGGAAAAAAGTTTGAGAACCACTGCTGTAGAGTCACTTAAGTAGTATTGATAATGTTATTTAGTATGTTGATTAGACGTTATGTAGGCATTGGGGCTCATAGTTGTTGTTTTTTTAAGTAAGTAACTGTCTAGCTGTCCTAGAAAGAAAGTTGTGCAGCAAAATGTGCAGATACCCTTCTAAGCAATTTCTTTGAAATGAGTCATCCTGGCTCCTCCCACCTGTCAGTGTTTCTAGCCAATGAGTGATGTGAGAGCTGTGATTGATAAGTGAGCACCAGGCAATAGAAATTCTTGTTGTTTTCTCCTCCCCTTTAGTGCCCTTTTCCTACTTCTGTCTTATTTTCCAGGCCATGATAGTTTGCCTTCCCTGTCCCTAGCAATCAAAATGCATCTTACTCTGAGATCAGGTAGTCCCTAGAAGTTATCTTCTGCAGATATTAGACAGAAAGTGTGGGTGGATGTTTAGAAATCCTCTTCCCTCAAAAAGGCAAATGTGTAAACTTTGCAAAGAGCTTAGGCATGTTTCCTGCTGTGCCAAACACCAGGTTTTCATTAAGAATTCATTTCATAATTAACTCACAGTACAATGGTATACATGCCCACTTAGAAGTAAGTCTCTTTGTGTTTAATGGGGTTTCTCTCCCAAATAATCGGATGCATGATGGCAGCCTAGGCTTGGTTTAGAGATGGCATTATGGGAATTTTTTGTGTGTGTGTGCCTTTAACAGCTGTATGGTGGAAACTCAACAAGTTAATCCTTTTCTAGAGATGCAGTGATAGGGGAAGCTTCACCACAAATGGCAGCTGTTCCCCCACAGGATCCTTTTTTAAAAAAATGGTGCTACATTGGCCACTCTCCAGTTCTCAGGTACAAAGGGAAGTAATCAGAATGAATTACAGATTTTGTTACAAGATCAGCACTTTCACATGTGAGTTCTTTAAGAACTCTTGGATGGATAACAGCTGAACGTGATCATTTGTTTATATTGAATTTGTCAGTGATACCTAAAACTTCATTTTTTCACCAGTTCTGCTTCAGTTTTGCTTCAGTTCTTCAGACTTGCTCAGGGATCTTCCGTACGTCTTCTTTAGTCAAGACAAATGCAAATAATTAATTCAGCTTCACTGCTGAATCTCATTTTCCTCCTTTAGCACCCCTTTAACTCTCTTGTTGTCCAAAGGCTGTACAAACTTAATTCGTCCAAAGGCTGTACAAACTTAATTCGTTCCGGAGATCCGTTCTTAACCTGAAACCGTTCTTAACCTGAGGTACCACTTTAGCTAATGGGGCCTCCCACTGCCGTGCGATTTCTGTTCTCATCCTGAGATAAAGTTCTTAACCCGAGGTACTACTTCCGGGTTAGCGGAGTTGGTAAACCGAAGTGTTTGTAACTTGAGGTGTTTGTAACCCAAGGTACCACTGTAGTCCTGTTCATACTTATCTGGAGATAAGTCCCATTGCATTAAGCAGAACACCCAGGTAACTACTGTTGAACTTAATATACTCTCAGACATGCTTCTGCATCTAGCATTGCACTTTTAGTTATGGAAAAATGAGAGTGTGTATTGTTTTGCCTTCAAATTTTATTTCTGTGATCTATTTATACTTCAGATTAAACATAAGTTATTATAAGTGTTGTTGGTGCCTTTGTAGTTCCCATACAATCTCATTAAATTCTGTCTCCGTTCCTTTTTCTCTGCAAGGGAATAAATTGATTTATATGAGCATGCTGCTAATGTTATAGTTCCTTGTCTAGCCCCTTGGGTTCTAATGTTTTTTAAACTCAGTACAATTATGGGAAACACTGCACTGGAATGATGACATAAATCATCCCCATAGGAGTCTGAACAGTCTGGGGAGTAATCTCATAGAACCCTGCTGAGGTAAATAAGACCAGTAATTTGAAATAAATAAAAGAGCAATGGAGCTAATGTGAATGGCTCAAGAATTCCATTAGATTCACAATGGCAGTGTTTATGTGGCATAGCTGTGTAGATCACATTGCAGGGCTGTATTAAATATAATAATATTGCAGCTCACAAGAGTATCCTCTTTTCTCCAGAGTGTCTGTCATGTTGGCTGTGTTTCTGGATCTTACTACCAGACACCTGCGTTTGCGAGGAGAGCTTATGCATATGTAAAATGCGGTAAGACATATTGCTTCTGTAGCCAAGCTCAATAAGCATTCTTGTGCAGGAAAGGTAATAAGTCAAATTGAAATATATTCTACCCGCCTTGGAATCACTATGGAACAGCATGATAAGATTGTATTTTGATACTCTGCTGGAAGCTGCCCAGAGTGGCTGGGGAAACCCAGCCAGATGGGTGGGGTATAAATAAATTATTATTATTATTATTATTATTATTATTATTATTAGCATAGCCGGGGGGGGGCAGATCAAGTAAAACAATAGAAATACTTAACTAAGTGACCAATCACGTTGGTTCTGCCCCTCCTAACAAAAGTCCTGCCCCCCACTCCCATAACAAAAATCCTGGCTACGCCCATGGCATGCATCCTACTCGTGTCCAGTTTCTACACATTTAGGCATTGTGCACTTTCAGATGAATATGTTTGCATAGGACCAGTAGGCATAATCTCAATTTTCCATCCATGTATTGATTCTCACGCAGTTGGAATGTCTGCATCGGGGGTTGGCAAATTTTTTCAGTAGGGGGCCGGTCCACTGTCCCTCAGACCTTGTGGGGGGCTGGAGTATATTTTGGAGGGGAAAAAATGAACGAGGGATGATGAGTGGCATGCAAAAGGGCTCCAGAGAGGGACTGGCACCAACAAAGCCCAGCCCCCTCCCTCCTTTAGGCAGGGCAGGGAGAAGCCAGGAGGAGGGAGGGAGGTGCCACCGCCGTGTGTTTGAGGGAGGGGGGAGAATGGCGCAGCCTGAATGATCAGAATCAGATCCATTCTGATCCACACAGCGATTCCTGGACTGTCTGCAGGCCGGATCCAGAAGACAATTGGGCCAGATCTGGCCCCTGAGCCTTAGTTTGCCGACCCATGGTCTGCATGGAGCTATAAGAGAGCTCCAACAATTCAGTAGCAGAGTACATTGTCTGTCTGCAGGAGATCCCAGTCACCCCCATTTCCCAGGGTTTTGTTTTGTATTGTTTTGTTAAAGAAAGATAAGTAGCAGGTGCTGTGAAAGATCTCTGCTTGAAGAATGCTGCCTATATGAGCAGCCAGTGCTGAGCTAGATGGATAAATAGCATAAAGCAACTTCTTATGTTCCTATATGAATAGAATCATAATATGAGTTTGATTTGTATTCTTAGCTGCTTTTAGAGTGGACCTTCTGGTTTGCAGCTATTTTTCTTATTATTATTTTAATTACCAGAGCGGTTTTTGGTAGTGTTACTGTAGATTGACAATGATCATATGGAAAGTTGACCCTAATATCCAAATAAGAGAAGAGATTGTTTTTCTTTAGATTTAAAATATACCTTCATCAGTCTTTAAAATGTAGACTTTAGAGCTAACCTTTATCTTGTGAAACCTAATCTTACAAACCAAAACACAACCAGTACTTCTTGATGTGTAGAGCCAAGTAATGGGGAAATGGCTGTCTTTGTTATATGCCAAGCTTAAGTTAAACTGTGCCCAGTTCAACCTAGTCATAGAGAAAAACATTCTTGCCTGTTTAAGTAAAAACAAATGCCTGCAGGCCAGTGTGGTGTAGCGGTTAAGAGCAGAGGACTCGTAATCTGGTGAACCGGGTTCGCTTCCCCTCTCCTCCACTTGCAGCTGCTGGGTGACCTTGGGCTAGTCACACTTCTCTGAAGTCTCTCAGCCTCACTCACCTCACAGAGTGTTTGTTGTGGGGGAGGAAGGAAAAAGGAGATTGTTAGGCGCTTTGAGACTCCTTAGGGTAGCGATAAAGCGGGATATCAAATCCAAAACTAAGACATGTTTGTATTTATTTAGGAAAATAAGTCGAAAATCTTTCCTTCAGCACCACCTGTTGAATAGATTACTGTGCACGGAAATCCAATTATGTGCCCATTTAGGCATGTAATTGATAGTTTACCTGAGCAGCAACAAAGCAAGATGGCAGGTTTCCTGCATTTTTTGCTTGCTTCAAACAACACAATGAGCTGAAAGAACCAAAACATCTAGCAGCGTTGATAGAATTTGCATTGGAATGGTTTACATGGAGACAGACAACAGAGGCAGATTTACACATGTGCATTCTTAAATGGATCAAGTAACTGCATTATCAGCATTTTGATAGATTTATGCAGGTGCATTTACAAGTAAGTGGGAAGCCTTTTTTGTGCTTTGCCAAAGATGCTGAATTATGGCTCAGAAAAGTGGTATACAAATTTAATAGTAGTAGTAGTAATAATAATAATAATAATAATAATAATAATAATAATAAAGTCATTCTCTGTGCAGGAGGACGATAGCGGAAGGGGAGTAGGTGAGACCAAGGTTTTGCTTGGGCTTGTTCCAGCTTGTTTAAATGTTTAGCACTAAACCATTGATTTTAGCATTACAGTAGACCCTCCAGATATGAACATAATTTGTTCCGGGGGTCCTTACATACCCCGGAAAGTCCACAACATGAGGCACCACTTCTGCATGCGGTGCGATAGAGCGCTTCTGCACATGCGCGCACGGCGAAACCCAGAAGTATACACTTCCATGTTTGCCGTGTTCACAACCCGAGAGTTACGTTACCCGAAGGTAACGTAACCTGAGGGTCCACTGTACGTGTCAACCAGTTGAATGGCAACTCAACATTTTCTGGCCCTACAGGTAGCCTTGTCTTTGGGTTTAGTAACAAAATGTAGTTTGCGGTGATAGAGATTGGTTGCTTTCTAAAGTTATCATGTTGAGTTATATTAGTAACCCGTTTCACACGCCACGTTAAACAGTAGTTAAAAACAAACCATAATTTAATGCAAATGTACAGGATTCTTGTGCATGCTGCTGAGAAGTTCTCACTCTGCTCCTCCCCGTGGGTTCATGGTTTGTTTCTTTCCAAACAAACTACTAGTGGTAACTCAGGTTGGTTCTTGGCTTATTGCTTATGGTTTGTTTGGAGAGAAACAAACCTTGAACCAGGTTCAGATGTGGCAGCTTAGCAGGAGCAGAGGAAGAGGGAAGCAGGAACTTTTCACCAGCATGCCCAAGTACATAGTGCATTCATACTAAACTATAGCTTGTTTTTAATTATAATTAAATGTGATGTGCAAACCAGGCATGTATGTGCACTAATGAAAAGCAGCAAGTTGATATAATATAGGCTTCCTCAACCTTGGCCCTCCATATGTTTTGAGACTACAATTCCCATCATCCCTGACCACTGGTCCTGCTAGCTAGGGATCATAGGAGTTGTAGGCCAAAAACATCTGGAGGGCCGAGGTTGAGGAAGCCTGATATAATATTTTGTGGTGGTTGCTAGTCATAGAAGAAACTCTCTCTGCTGTGTTCCTAGGCAAAATCAAAAAAGCAATATGTGATGCTACAAGAGCTGTGGATTTAGACCCCATGAATCCTGTGAGTAGTAATGCTGTGGTTCGTGTAACTATAGGATTCGCTGTATGTACACTTTATACTCTTGTAGAATTTTAAGATTTTTGGTCGGGGAAATTGTGCCATATTTTCTAAGAGGTAAGCCCAAATAAATAAAATAAATACACAAATTTCTTTGCAGACTCATGAAGAGTTGAAGCAAGCATCCATGTCCAAGGCCTCAGTTGCACAAAGCCATTTCACGATTTGATAAAAATTCCCTTTGGAAGAAGGACACTGGATGCTTACAGTGTTTTGTAATGTTTTAGTTTATTTACAGATATACAGGTTGGGTATAGGAGGAGGTACATCTTTAACATTCATATCAGCCAACCAAATCTACCACCCTTCATCTGATCTCCAGAGAGAAGCAACTTTGAATCTCCTTCTGCTGTTAGCTTATAAAAACTCCTCTTTCTCTGTGTATGTTTCTCTGTCTGTCTTAGTCAAATCTGAAGCTTCATTTGTTTCTTTTCATACAGAGGCCTACAGTACATCATTCTTGACTGTTAACACTCCTTTATTAGGACAGTTAACACTTCAGGATTCTGGCGGGGAGTTGCCTTAATCCACATGGATTGCCCTGTTCTCAGAAATCTAACAGCAAGATGTATAACAATGTAAAACCATATGCAGTGCTTACACTGGATTAATAATACTTCCTAATTCTGTGGTTCCCAAACTCCTCGCCCGCCTGCAGACCACTTGGAAATTCCTGAGGCTCTTGGTGAACCTCTTAATATTTTTTTTGGTGTTCTACTTATCAAAGCACATACATAATTCATATTTTAATAACCGTAGTCTTGCCTTTTTAGTGCAGTGGATGAATAATCTCCCCATGCTGGCATCACCATAGACCTGAGGCCAAGCTGCTGAGAAGCGCCCTTTCAACTGGTGATTTTTTAAAGGAAAAAGTAGCAGTCTGTACCAGCACCATATTACAGAAATCAATAAAGACTGGGTCCTCTTTGCCCTATGTGATGATTTGCCCCTTGTCAAAGCACTCTCTACCGCTATCATTGCAATTGGTCCATGCCAGGATGAAGTCTTGATATTCTTGGTAGTTCTGCAGCCTTAACGTGGATCATCTGGAGCTCACAGACCACAGTTTGAGAAAGGTTTAAAATGCAATGGTGTGGCTTCAGTCATAATCTCACCACAGTTTGCATCCACACTGGCTCTTAGTTAGTTTTTGGGTACATTCCAAAGTGCTAGTTTTAACCTCTAAAGCTCTTCAGTTGGCTGGGTCTTAGCTATCAGAAATATTGGACCTGCTCATCACCTTAAATCAGTGGCAGAGGCTCTTCTCTGTTTCCTCCTCTATTTGGAGGTGAGGAATGTAGAGAAGCATAGAGGACCATTTCTGTGGTCGTGGGATGCCTGAAGAACATCTTCTCTAGGTATGTCTTCCTACTGTGGCGGGTGCTGGTAGAAGGAAGGCTGCTGTTCTCTTGTGCCTTTCATTGAAGTGTTCCTTAGCTTAATCATTGTGCGATTTGTGTTTGTAGAACTATATATATATATATATATATATATATATATATATATATAGTTTTATTGTATGCTGTTTTGAACTGCACAGTTTGGAGTAATGCTACCCTTGTAGCCTGTCTGTGATCTACACAGTTCTCTCACCCATTTCATCTTTGTGGGAGGCCTGTGAAGTAAGTTAGGAGCTGAAAAGTAGTGACCTGGCGAGGGGCAGTAGTAATATGCTGAAGATCCCAGGTTGAATCCCAGGTAGAGCTGGGCATTCCCCCTGAAAACCTAGAGAGCTGCTGCCACTCAATACTGAGCTAGACAGCTAGACAGACCAATGATCTGACTGATTATAAGACAGCTTCCTGTGTTGACTTTCCTAAGGTGAACTCCATCCCTGAGTGGGGATTTGAACCTGGTAGTTTAAGTTACCTGTGGATTTAAGCTGTGATTTAGACAAAACATCTTTTTTTCAGTTTTTGCTGACTGCTTACCTTTTTATTTCCTAGGATGTGTACTGTATCAGAGCTCTTGCATGGAGCTCAGCAAAAGAAAAAATGAGAGCCCTTACTGATTTGAACTTTAGTTTCAAGCTGAATTCATCTCATATTTGCACTATGATCTTAAGGGGAGCTATTTTAAACTCCCTTGGGAAACTGCCTCCTCCGAAGAAAAATAAAGATCACGAAAAGGTAAATGGCATTGTCCTGAAACTTATGGTTTTCATTGGTTTGCCTCATAATTGCCTCCGAAGGGGCTACCAGATGTTATCCAATTCTGAAAAAAGGTCTAGCACAAAAAAACAAACCACTGGACCTATTAGTATGTAATTTGACAGACTTTAGCTACTTGCTAGGGGCTATTCAGCTATAGATCTCACTCATTACTGTCAATAAGCTGGGGAAGTTATAGTCATATAAAAATAATAATTATAATATTTATAATAGTGAATAGTGAATTGGAGGGCCACAAAGCTTTGTTTTTCTGAATTGGGATTTGTTTTGTGACAAATTGGAGACTCAGAAATTGGTTTCTACTGTCTCAGGCTGTTTTTTTCAGAATGTTGAGTGGGAGTCGGAACCAAATCTTGTGCTCGGTTCACACCTCTTGTTTCCACCCCTATGAATTTCATGTTCTTCACCACACAGCTCCTCATTGGGGGTGAAGAAACAAGCACTGTTTGTGATTATGTATGATTACTGTGACATGGCAGACTATAGTAAGGCTATAGCCAGCAGTAGCAATTTAATACATTCAGGTTATCATGTGATAACTGTATTTGCTGTGGATAGAATGTTATGTAGCCTGGTTCTGTTTCCTTGTCAGATATTGAAAATCTTTTCTCTCTGTGTGTAATATTAATAAGACAGTGGCTGTGAAATCTATGCATAATTACTGGAACCCACTCACGTTTCTTTTCAGGATTTCAGTGGTTCACACAATCATTAAAGAAGCCATCTCTTGACTTCTATGATATGATTACATTTCTAGTGTTTCTGTTCTGATTAACTCTGAAATTCTTAAGGAAGTGTGACATCACCCACCCACTTGCATGCTTTTTAATTAAGTCCAGTGTTATTCTCTGACATAGGAAAGTCAAATGCAGACTTTTCCCCACGATGACATGATTTGAACAGCATTTTTATATTCTTTACAAAAGCATTATCCTCTATATCTGGCGCTACAATAGATACATCCCCACTTTTAAATGACTCTATACGTCTATATGTTACATCCTTGAAGAAAAGCCTCCATTGTGTTTGCCCAACTGCCCATCTGTAGAACGGCTAGTAGCGCTGGCATTGCAATACTAAGAAAGGACCAAATCATCTGCTATAGGCACAGCCTAAAATAGTATTTCCACTTATTTTCATCCCTGACAATGAAAACAAAAACCAAGAACCTCTACTCCAGTATCAAATTCTGAGTTATCCGGATTCCAAATAAATAAGTCAATTTACAGCATTGCACCTTTTAGAAATCCTACACGTGCTCTTAATCAACCCTTATATTCCAGTGTCTAGTAGTACTGATTTTTCTGAACACACCGGTACCTGTCTCTGAAGATTATTTAATTGTTTTTGTTTCCCAATAGGCATCTGATATTTCCTGGGAAAGCAGGAATTTCTTTGATGTGGAAGATTTTTATAGTCCGAAAATTCCTTCATTCTATGATAAGTGAGTAGGAATGCAAGCAGCTGCTGCTGCATGCAGTATAAAATTGCATGATAGCAAATGCAAACTATTGGAGGGGACGCTGTGCTTTTGAAAAGGGCTTGAAGTAGCGAAGTAATCTCTTTGCACTTGTTCAATTTCAGTTTGTATCTTCCACTGTAGTTGCAGCAGTACTGTACTTCGCAGAGAAACTGGATTTCTCCTTCAGGGCAATTAAAAACAACAACCAGGAAAAGCCATTTGGGGAATGACCGCTCCCCGCTTAAAACGGGGGGCGCCCTTTGCGTGGATGCGCGCAGCCCCTAGATCTGGAGCGGCTCCAACAGCATAGGCTTGGTTTGCCTTCCCTCAGGTGGGATACCTGGAGGTCTCCGCCTACCTCAGTCAGTTGTCCAATCCCACCTGGGGGAAGCATTGCCAAGGAGACCAGGCCAGGTAGGGGAGGGATTACCTGCCCACACAATAGAGGGAGGATCTTACCTGGGAATCCTCACTTGGCTCCAGAGCTTCTCCCACCCTACCCACCCTCAGTTAATGTCTTATTTGCAGGTTAACTTTTCTTCACAGGTTTTGCAAGTTAACTTTTCTTCACAGGTATGCGGGCGCTGCTACGTTAAGGTCGCTGTTAAAGGGCCAGAAAGGAATTTCCCTGCATTGGCAGGTTTCGCCTTTCCCGTAGCAAAACGTCACAACTTTGGCGGTATCAGGCCTTGGGCGGAATCCTTTAGTCCATCTTCCTCTTTGCGGCGGCGATACCAGGGTTCCCCATTAAAGGGGTTTCTGAAGTGAGGCTTTGACCGTACGCCGAAAGGTCGTCATTGCTCTCCCCTGCGGTGGCGGCGTAACGGGGGCGGCTATCTCTGCTTGAACATATATTCTCCAGAGCCGGCCCATCCCCCGCACAAACACTGGATAACCCTGATGCTCCCTAGGTCCCCGGCTGGGGACTGGGGAGGGAGAACGCCCAATGCCTGAGCCAAGGTCTACCCACATTTGAAATTTAATAAAGTTGTGGCCAATTTAATCCCATAGCACGTTGTCATGAGTCGTTATTCCACATGACGGGGGGACCGTGCGGGATCTGGGGACTCCGCCTGTCCATGCAATGGGTGACTTGAAGTGTTGCTGGGATATATTTAACCAATCTCCATTCCAAATCCCTTTCCGGGCAGCTTTCATCTCCACTGACATGGGATTTTCAAATAACTTGGGAGATGATTTGGAGTGAGGAAATAACAATGGGCTCCCAATTGCCCCTTCCTGAAGTGGCTTTTCTTGCTATACACAAAGGATGATTGGTGTGTGTTTGTGTATTAAGAACAGGATTTCACAACATACTCATGTGAAGTGCATTAATTGTGTGCAACCACAGTGACATGGGGTCAGAATGAATCAACTGCAGAATCATTCCTTCACTACCAGAAATGCACAGAATGAATGTAAATAACATATACAATTGATTAAAGGTATAGGGACCCCTGACAGTTAAGTCCAGTCGCGAATGACTCTGGGGTTGCAGCGCTCTTCTCGCTTTACTGGCCGACGGAGCCGACATTTGTCCGCAGACAGTTTTTCTGGGTCATGTGGCCAGCATGAATAAGCCGCTTCGGGTGAAACCAGAGCAGCACACGGAAACGCCGTTTACCTTCCCGCCAGAGCGGTACCTATTTATCTACTTGCACTTTGACGTGCTTTCGAACTGCTAGGTGGGCATGAGCTAGGACCAAACAACCGGAGCTCACCCCATCGCGGGGATTCGAACCGCCGACCTTCTGATTGGCAAGTGGTTTAGACCACAGGGCCACCTGTGTCCTTAGGGAATAAATAATACACAGACACATCATCATCATCATCATTTATTAACATGTAATTTGGATTTTTAAAATTCCTGCTATTATATTCTTTTTTCTTTTTTAAAAAAAGCATGTTTGAAAATTAAATCTGACCTTTTATATATATCCTTCATAAAAATGAATGAATAGCCATCTTTTGAAATGCTGTTTTCAAGAAAGAATTGTGGGGCACATCACCACAGCTGTTATCCTCCAATCTATCTTATTGACCTTTTAATCCTGTTTGATGCCCGGAAATTAACTGATCACTGCAATTTGCTCAGTTAGTACTCCAGTTATCAAACAATATGGTTACCTTAAGCAATTAGTGTGTGCTTCATTTTAAGAAATATTTAAATAAGTAACTAGATCTTTAAATAATTTGATAAATGATTTCAGATTCCTTTCTTGATGATTTAAATCAATCCGCCCTAGACATACCTTGACTTTTAAAAAAAAATCTACATCTGGGCAGAAAGGCTTCTAAAATTATATATTAGCAGAGCGATCTTAGACATGTCTATTCAGAAGTAAGTCCGAAGCTCCATGGGACTTTACTCCCAGGTAAATCAGGCACAGGATTGCAGCCTGAAGGAAGTATACTCATGCTTGAAATCCCAGAGAGCTTAATTCAGCCATTGTAGACTGTATTAATCCCGGCCAGCCAATGGCCTGTCTCAGTATAAAGCAGTTTCCTTTGTTCTTACGTTTTGTGATGTTGAGTAAGCCATGAAATGGAGGTAATAGTGCATAAATATATTACAATGCATAAATGTTAATAAAACCAAGTTCCTTATCTTCTGATGATTTTTTTCTTTTTATAGATACCTCTGGTCTCTAAATGTTTTTCACACCGTAACTGAAATAGACCTGTTCGATGGAGCCAGATTCCTCTCCAACTGTAAGAGCCAGTAAATGTACTTGAAATGATTATGCTACGAATGCCTGCTTTGCCTTGCCTTTCAGTTAGTTGGACTCCTCGAAAATGTCCTTTGGTTATAGAAACCTACAGGAGCACCTCCCTCAGTGGGGTGAGCCTCAGCTATGTCCTCCTGGCAGCAGTGTCACTGCTACTTTGCTAAGAGGGAGAGGACAAGGCCATGGCTGCGTGGCTGCTCTGGTTTTTCTACCAGAGTAGCTCAATTGGTGCGTCAAGAATCCCCAACCTCACCTGCCACCTTTCCCCTCCCCTTCCATGTACATAGCAGTGATGCTTCTGCCGGGAGGCTATTGCTGCCTGTAGGCTTAGGTATATTAGGAAACTCATTTAACAAACCACAGACGCAGATCCAGTGACGTTAATGGACACAGCTCATTTAGGTTCATTAATTTCCATGGACTTAGTTGCATACGAGCTCAATTCACTGTATCAGGCATAGGCAAACTCTGGCCCTCCAGATGTTTGGGACTACAACTCCCACCATCCCTAGCTAACAGGACCAGTGGTCAGGGATGATGGGAATTGTAGCCCCAAACATCTGGAGGGCCGGAGTTTGCCTATGCCTGCACTATATTGTCTAGCACAAAACACAGCCTCTTGTTCATTTTTCCTGCATGATGGAATGCTGTCTGAAGTGCTGGTGAAAGGTGCCTGAAGCAGAGCCCCAATGTCACTCTGCTAGGGCACAATAGGTTAAAAGCCTTGCAGCACCATTCAGGCTCCCAGATCCTGCCTTCATCATTTCTGGTGCTGCCTGAAAGCTGCTCTGTCCTGCTGCGTGGCAGGAATCTGGTTGTCTGGAATCTATGCAAGTAGATTGTTCAGGATACTTATTTTTTTTTTTTGTTTACCCCATACATCAGAACTCTAGATTAGAGTAACTTAAACTTTTTAAAGTTTTGGTTCTCCCCTCCCCCCCCAAAGGCAGATGGTGACAGGCTGCTAATTTGTAAAGTGTCTTCACCCTTAGATCAGTCAGTAGAGCATGAGACTCTTAATCTCCAGGTTGTGGGTTTGAGCTCTACGTTGGGTGAAAGATTTCTGCATTGCAGGGAATTGGACTAGGACGGTGATCATTGTCGCCCCTTACACTCTACAATTCTATGATTCTATGTGACCATAAACCCAGCAGCAGCAGCAGCAGCAGCAACAACAACAACAACAACAACAACAACAACAACAACAACAACAACAACAACTGGAGACTAAGATACATTAACTAAACAGTACTTTATGGGAATTTCATAGTTTACTTATTCTTTGAGCAAAGACGAGTGGAGAATCCACACGGTGCTTATTAGCTTGGCTGGAGAGCCTGTGCAAGCCACACAGCCGGCTTTGCATTGTTCTGAGGAATGCTTCTTTCCTCTCCAGTTGTCATTCTGCAGAAAATTCCAAGTAAAAAGGCACTTTTCCCCATGCTCCCCCTCCCCAGAACACTTCCTGCCCTTGGGCTATAAACCTACAGAATCTGCTCACACAGCTGGCTTTCACCTGCAAAGAGTTGTGGGTCTATTTTTGTATTTCTCTGTGTGGTATTTAAGAGGCCTGACAAATACCTGTCTCCTTTGCCTACCAAGCTTTCAGAAAATCTTGCACAAAGGTCCCGTTCAAGAAAATGCATTCAAGGGCCAAGCTACTCAGTTAAGAGTCTTGCGTAGTGTGTCTGTTATTCAACACAGTGTTTTATGGCACTGATTCTCAAACAGTGGAGGTGGGCCTCAGTGCCACAACCTGCCCTGTCTCTCATCATTTGCCTGCCCTGTTATCTGGCCATGCTGTAGCCTTTCGTTTGTGCTGTCAGCAGAAGGTCCTTGCATTCTGAGCAGAAGTGGCTGGGAGACAGATGTTTGGTGGGTGGAGGGAGGGAAGGAAGGAAGGAAGGTCTCCCTTCTCTGAGGGGAAAGGGCCAAAAGAGATGTTGAAGGGAATTGGAAAGCGAGATGAAGGGTTAAAATTTTATTATTAATAATAAATAAACTGGAAATACTACTACTACTACTACTAATTTATTATTTGTACCCCACCCATCTGGCTGGGTTTCCCCAGCCACTCTGGGCGGCTTCCAACAAAGACAAAAAATACACTAAAACATCACGCATTAAAAACTTCACTGAACAGGGCTGCCTTCAGAACGCTGGGGGTGGCGACGCTCTTTCAGGTATACTGGGCCGAGGCTGTTTAGGACTTTAAAGGTCAACGCTAACACTTTGAATTGTGGTTGGAAACGTACTGGGGGCCAATGTAGGTCTTTCAAGAAAAAGAAGGGGGTGAGAGGGAAAAGAGGTTACAGGAAAAGTGAATGTAGAATGACCAGGAAACAGAGATGAAAGAAACTGGGAGTTTGGAGGAGAGAAAAAGGTACAAGCCAGTGTGGCATAATGGTTAGAGTGTTGGACTAGGACTTGGGAGAGCAGGGTTTGAATCTCCACGCAGCCGTGAAGCTCACTGGGTGACCTTGGGCCAGTCAACATTTCTTCACCTCACAGGGATGTTGTGAGGATGAAATGGGGAGGAGGAGAACCATGTACACCACCTTGAGCTCCTTGGAAGATAAAGTTGGCATATAAATGTGATAGATAGATAGATAGATAGATAGATAGATAGATAGATAGATAGAAAGAAATGTGATAAATATAAATAAATAAATAAATAAATAAATAAATAAGTAGTGAAAATAGGATTGGAGAAGAAATTACAGGAGATGAGTAAAAATACATTGAGAGTCATGCTTGGGTTGGAAGGAAAATATACGTTTTTTAAAGCATATCTAGAGCCTCTAGATCAGTAAATTCTCCTTAAAATTGGGAGGCTGAAATGCAGTCTTTTAGAACAAACAACTGTTTTCAGCTTCCGGAAAGCTGAGCAATGCGAGTCCCTGCCACAAGGAAAACACTGTGGCAAAGAATGCAGTGATATCAACAGAACATGATGTCTGCTGCCTTTATCTGCCACTATTTTGTGGCAGACTCTGCCACTGCACCACCATTTTGTCACCAGTGAGCCTCAGTAATTTTCAACCCATCTCAAGCCAATCCTAGGGGAAGACAATTTTAAAGCACGTTTTATGGGAAAGATGAACCCTAATGCCAGTTTTTCATTTTGTTGTTCCTGAGTGCTCCCCATGTTTTACTGGAAAGACTAAAGGTTGTCTTCGGTGCTGTGCAAGCAGTATTCCACTTGAGCAACAGGACTTCTTCTTCTTCTCTTCTCCCTTCATGCCCCTGAAATTGCTCTTGAGGGTCCTCTAGCCTTCATCAGCAGATTTGGAGGGTGTGGGACTGCAGGCGGAAGGAGGGAGAAGTTCCACTGCATAAGAAGAAATCTGTTGGACAAGTGGAACAGCAGTGTTGGATACGACACACGACTGTGCTACGTGTGCCTTAAATTGGGTTTTATTACGTAGAAAAATATGCCTCCTCAAGTCAACAGAATTCTTAAAGCGACTGCTATTCTAGCAGTGAAAGCTGTACATATGATACTTGTTTACTTACATTCTGATTTCTGTTCTGCCTTAGCTAAATATTTCATGGCTTTTTTTTTGTTTTAGAGTTCGTTTTAATCCTTTAATTCAGAAAAAAACTTTTTCTTATGAATATATATATATTGCATAACATAATTTCTCATGTTTTTGAATTAGCCATTAGCAAAAACAAAGAACAAAACTTGGGGAGACCATTTAAATGTGGCTCTCTGACAACGTATTCCGACAACATTTCCTTATTAAGGCGAAAGATGTACTCACGGCAAAGCATGGCATCAGTCACAGGAATTAATGGTAATAATTAAATAGATACTTACAAGATACTTAAACATAAAAAATAATAGGACGCTTTCTTGCTTCAAGCTTGGAAATGTAGTTATGATTGTTAAGGTGCTTGCATTTGCACAGACTGAATCTTGCACACACAAACATATGCATGTACCTAGGGATGTCTGAGTATTTTGACGAAAACAGGAGTAGAAATTGCTGGTGTTTGCTTATCAATCCAGTGAATACAATTGCTATTCACTGTTGTTGCTTTGAGTCCACGATTGATATGTAATTGATTAGGTTTCTCCCCCCACACACATTTGCATCAAAATGAATGGGGTGGAGTAAGGCAATGGCCACATAATTCACATTATTGATTTTGTAAACCGTGTAAATTATATAATTTTATCACAGCAGGCAGCAAGACAGTGTTTTGGGTGGAGGATAAACTGGGGCAGAACAGAATAGTTCAGTTGGTTTAGAGCAGGCTTCCTCAACCTCAGCCCTCCAGATGTGTTTGGCCTACAACTCTCATGATCCCTAGCTAGCAGGACCAGTGGTCAGGGATGATGGGAATTGTAGTCTCAAAACATCTGGAGGGCCGAGGTTGAGGAAGCCTGGTTTAGAGCGTGGCGCTCATAACGCCAAGGCTGCAGGTTCGATCCCCGTAAGGGCAGCTGCATACTCCCTTCCAACTCATATGATTCTATGCTCAAGAAACAGTGTTGCATATTCCCCCTTCCACCTTTATAAACAGCCCTTCAGCTATGTGAGGGTGATTCAGGGAAGTTGAAGAATAGGAATAAAGTCCTAAAAACAATATAGGTAAAGGTAATGGTATCCCCTGACCATAAGGTCCAGTCACAGATGACTCTGGGGTTGCGGTGCTCATCTCGCTTTACAGGCCAAGGGAGCCGGCGTACAGCTTCCGGGTCATGTGGCCAGCATGACTAAGCCGGTTCTGGCAAACCAGAGCAGCGCATGAAAACGCCGTTTACCTTCCCACCAGAGTGGTACTTATTTATCTACTTGCACTTTTGACGTGCTTTCGAACTGTGAGGTTGGCAGGAGCAGGGACCGAGCAACGGGAACTCACCCCGTTACAGGGATTCGAACCGCCGATCTTCTGATTGGCAAGCCCTAGGCTCTGCATATTAAAACCTGTGAAAAGAGAAGTCCTCAGTAATTTCCTTAAATAGTCACAAAATCAACCAAATACTACACTGCAGATTTATAAAACACATTGATAATATATATTTGCTGTTAGGTGTGCAGTTGCTTTTTAAATACATCCTAACATTTGCTTTTCTATATTATTATTATGCCTGAATACTGGATTGGTGCTCTCAGGGAAGAATCGCTCCAGTTTATCATCAGCATCTGGTAATCATTTATTTTATTTTTTCATATTGTTAGAATTTCTACCAGAATTGTTTTTATATAAACACTTTCAAAATATTAAAGTGCTCATCAAGCCCTGGAAGCTTCAACAGAAGCTTCAGAAAGAAAACTTGAAAACATGATCTACTTTGTATATTATAATACAGGCAATGTAATCCATCTTATCCCCTGGCAGGAATCTATGTTCCAAGCAGCTGGAGCCACATATATTTAAAGCCATATTGGCTTGTGAGTTGCGTGGTTACCCCTGCTGCCATACTCTACCTTTCTCTTAGATCAGTCTGTAGCAATATAATCATCCTGCCACAAAATAAATCAACCGGCTTCTCCAGACTGGTGGTATAAAATATTACAGGATTTCAGGCAGGAAGCTGATTAGAAATGAAGCTGTGTAAAAGCCCACAGCCTTTGCAGGTGCAAACAGTATTTAAAGCAGAATCACATGTGACTTCCCCGATAGCAGCACAAGCACAAATCATCAGGAATGCACAATAAAAATGATGTCTGCAGAGTCCCGAAGACTACACTGGATTTATACAATGCCTTTTCAGGGGGAAAATACTTCTTGTTATATTTAGTATTGCTCTCCTAATAAATCTTATCATCCCCCCCCTTTTTTTTAACTGTGCCTGACTACTGAATTGGTGTTCTCAGTGAAGAAAGACTCACATTTGCCAGCTACACAGGAATCTGGCAGTTAGTTTTTCTTAACCGTGATTATTGTTTTCCATCTCAAAAAGGTTGCATTTGAAGGCCTTAAAATGTTCAACAGAAGCTGCAGAAAGGAAACCTGAGAATATGATGCACTTTGTACATTGCGGGGAACGCAGTGCCATCTCAGCACATGGCAGGAATCCTTTTGCCAAGCAAATGAACCATCTCTTCCCACCCCCCAATGTGGCATGCCTGCCATTAGCCAGAGTACTGCCTGGGAGATGCAGTGCCATATGGCTAGCAATTCTTGGAAACTTCAACCCCCCTGCTGTCTTCTGAGCTTCTCTAGGCCCTGGCCATTTCAATGAATAAGGCAGCTTAGTTTTCTGTGGTTTACTGGGCCTGGATTATTTCTCGGAAGGAATACCTAGAGACAGGTAACTCTCAAGTCAACCACCATACAGAGGCTGCAGTCGCACCCTGCATTGGTTGCGCAGAAAAATAAATCCTACAGAACTAGATAAACTCCACCTTCACCTAGCGATAAGGAATGACACAAGGCTGATGTTTGCTGAGCACTCTTGGGTCAAGATTAGATTTGGCCCCAGAATCCTAATCTGCCCGGGAGTATTTCTCATAGTGCACAAGTATGGCTTCCTAGAGCATGATCAGTAGAGGGGCTACGGAGTGTCTTGCCTAGATTATCATGCCCAGGCTCACTGCCTCCCCAGCAATGGTATAGGAGTCCTTTCTCCGCATGGAGCAGCTTCCTTGGGCCAGTAACCTTCACCAATAACCTTCCAAAGGATAGTCAGGAGGTCCACCCTCCACCTTCATGTGACATTCAAAGATCATTAAGTTTGCTTCTTAAGAACCCTGCAATGGATCATGCAATGAGTACTACAAAGCTTTTTCCTCCCACCATGTTCTAGAGATACTGCTCCTTTCAATGTCTTTGCTCTCTATTCTGCAACCCTATTGACGGACAACTTAAAGTTGGACTTACCGTGATTTAGGTATGGGGGAGAAATTCAATTTAGTTTGCATTTAAAGGTGAACCTACATAGTTCGCACTTTCCCAAGCAATATGCAAACTGAAACATTTCCTTAAAAAAATTGCACCTTTCTGAATTTTTCAGGGCCAAAGAATGTGTATCCCCCTACCTGTTTTAAGTCTTATGTGTTCAGTTTTTCCGTATGTTTTATCTTATGCTGGTTTCTGACAGAAATAAAATTTGATACTGTTTATGAAAATGCATATACTAGGGTCAAGTTTGCATTGAAACACACCTATAGGTGCAAATAACCTATAAAAACGCATTATAGTAAGGAAATGTGTTTTAGAAAAATCATGTGTATTAGGCAATATTGCATACAAAAGTTTGTATAAAGAGAAATTCACACTAAAGCGCTGATGAATTTTCATGAGGATTTGTAAAAACAACAACAACCCTTGAGATTGAAAAATGAGAAATAGATAAACTTGACAGATTCACCATGGCTACTGTAAAGTACTCTTCTAGTAAGCAAGGAGTGAATCAGACTAGCTCACACACACAATAGGAGAACAACCAGATCATTGAGAGTGGTTTGCATGTTTCCGCTGCACAATTTACCATGGTAGTTTCTTAGTTAAGGACGCTGCTGTAGTCTAACTTTCCCTAAACAATAGTTTTTTGTTTATAAGAGATATTATATGAATTAAGCTAGAGTCCGTTTGAAAATTGGTGATGGTTAAACTAATGTAAAAATACAGAAGAGCGAATGCTGACTACAGTAACCCCTCCCCTCCCTGTTCCTTAGGCAGTGAAAAATTAAAGAAAACTGTGGCAAAAAGATCAAGTTCATTTACAGGCTGGAATGCATGAAGAAGAAATCAGCTTTCAACAGGATCATGGTGGCCTGGTACATGGCAAGGTATCAAGTGATGTTTTTGACACTGGAGCTTAAAATATGCTATATTTTAAAACTGGCAATCTTTAAAATGTATTCCGTTCCTTAGTAAAGGGCTTTATTAAAATATGCATATATTGAGTGTGTTTGTATTGTACCTCCTTGGTGACGCTCTCAGGATCCTCAGTTGTTTGTGGGTGGCATGCCAAAACCTACACCGGCCCCAAATCTATTTGCATTGTGCATTTACACTGTTATGGGGGAGGAGGCATGATTCATCTTCAAGTCACAAAGATAAAACACAGCTTGATATTATAACTGGAGAGGGCCCATAAGACTTTTCAAAATAAACGTGAGTGACTTGAACTTGCCCATTGACCACATTATGCAGTGCTATAACATTACTCATTTATATCAATTCAGAGCACTGTGCATAAAATTGTTTCTGAACAGGAAGGGAAATACCTGTACTCTTAGTGTTACCACGCACACCTCGCTTTTTGTGCCCAAAAGGCATCTAACAAAAGTTTCAAAACAATATTCTGTCTAAATAGCATAACATGAAAGCAAGTAGAGCAAAGTTTTCTCAGGCTTGGAAACTTTCTGGGCTGGGTTATTATGCCTATGAGCATAATAACTGTTTCTCGGTCTTTCTGTTTATTACCAAGAACAGTAGTGCAGTTCTAGTCTTGAATACACCTCTGGGATTTTGCTAATGTGAATATGCCTTGCCCTGCTTTAGCCGAGGTGATTGAACCATGCCATAAATCTAGGTTTTTTTCTACATTCCTTGCTATTCCTAGTTAAAGTACAAACATGTACATAAAATCTAAAAGAGCAAATCCAATAAAACTTTTTGATGCTGCTCTGGAGTATACCAATATTGTTTTACCTGTCTTTATTACTGAAAGGATTTATTTGTTTATTTATTTGCCAGCTGGTGTGTAGCACGCTTAGGATTTTGTGCAGTGCTCTTTCACAGTGCAATGACAACTTCATATTGAAGTCAGAAATTCATAGAGGCATAAACACAGCTGCTGATACCCATAAAACAACTTGTTTACAGGGGGAGGCATAATCAGTACTATCAAGTGTTTTGTCAATTACATTAAAAACAGAAACAGAAAACAATATGTATTTGACAGGAGACCATTTTAAGACATATTTGCATAATGCACATCTTTTTACGTTGTGCAAAGCAACGAGACACAGAAAGAATGGTATCCATTATTCATGAACTGAAATAAAGCATCGCATGGAAACGCAGGGCTGGGACTCTTCTGATATTTGCAGGCTTGTTTCTTTCTTGCTTGGGAAATTAGGGGCAATTATTGTTTTGCTGTTTAACTACATCTTGTTCCTTGAATGGATGACATCCCTTTCATACAGTCTCCTAGTTAGCGCAGATCAGCACCAATGCTTTTGACATCTCGCGATGACATCTCAGGGAAGACATGCTCCTGGCAGATCCGCTCAGCCAACAAGCTAGTTTAAGCAATAGCCATTTGGATTGGCGACAGTCCGTGAGGCTTCCAAAGCAATAACAGGCCTGCTCAGTAGAAGAGCTTCTGATTTGCCTGCAGAAGGTCCCGGGTTCACTCCTTGGCAGGTAGGACCGGGAGAGAGCCCTGCCTGTCCATGTGAACAGTACAAAACTGTTCATGAACCAGTGGTCTGACTCAGTCTAAGGCAGCTCACCATGTTCATGTTTTTTCTCCAACTATTGTGCCCCACTGTGACCTGTTCAGACAGAAACAAGGCTGCAGTCATACAGACACTTGCTTTGGGAGTAAGCCTCAACAATAGGACTTACTTATATGTGAACGTACATAAGATTGGGCTGTAAAAGGTAATTTGAATATGAATGGGGATAATGTAGTAGTTAATGCCCATGTAAACTACTCAGGTGGCCCAGTGCAGCAGTGCTTTTTCAGGCATTGGGCATGCCTGTGGGCTTACAAAGATTCACTGACTGTGAAAGGGATTACGTAAATCCGTCCACTAGTGTCCTCTTTGCGAAGTTCTCCTAAAACATGCCCCTGTATCTAGAGAGACCTGTGCTGTGCAGTTCGCATGACACTTAATGATTTCTGAGCTGTCACTCAGAAAATATAGGGTTCATTCCTGAATATTGGGGCACACACCAATATTTATATACACTTGCACAGGAACAAATATGAGACCAAGCTTAGGATCCTCCTAGTAAAAGGAAAATATACCAGTAATGCAGAACAAAGAATATAGGACTTTGTCAGCGCTACACATTTAGCACACTTATTGTGCAAGCCAGAAGGACTAGGAATGAAAAGTTAACTACTCTGAGGTTGTGAGCTCACTCTAAAAATAGAGATGTGGTCAGGAGTGCCAACTTGGCCCTGCGACTGTGGGTGGCTGGGGCCATGGGTGCCACACAGCGTGCATGGCCCTGGCACCAAAATTTGTGGGTGCTCGGGCACCTAGGGCCCCAGGGAGTTAGCACCTATGGGTGTGGTTTGATTATCATATGCTTCAGATTCATAAGACTCTGCACATTAATTAATGAATGTTTTTACCCTTCTCAGATCCTAATTGTTATTTAAACTAATTGTTGCCCATCTTTAGCCCAAATACTGCTGTCTGGCTCATAATTTATGTGGGTCTGTGTGCAACTTCCATTTGTACATGCTCATTTTGAGCTAGAACATTAATAAACAATAGCTTCAAGTTTAATTTGTAATTGATCCCTTAATCTGCCTCTTCCTTCTGCAGTTGCTTTTGAGTATCAGCTCAGAGTTTACTGAAAACATTTTTGAAACATTTTATCAAAGAAAAAGTAGAAAGTGATGTGCAAGATAAGTAGCTTTCAGCTTTACTGCTAATATATGCCAGTGTGTGTCTTCGTGATTCAGTTTGTTTCCTGGTGCTGAACCCTTATGTAGTCATGCTTCAATCTTAATATAGCAAGTTCATCTTGATCAGTGATCTGAAGGACTCATAAGCAAAAGGCAAAGTTAATAAGAATGACTGAGATTTCATTATTTTCTTTTCCCTACCACACTCAGGAAACTAAATTATCTTTTAGGAGGCAGAACAGATGTATCATAATGTGAATTTTAGAAAACATTTTGGAAGATTAATTCACCAAAATGGGGAAAAACATGTTTTAAGAAGTCAGGTGTGAAGCAAAGCAGAAGTATGAATACTTGGCTTTATTAAAAGGATTGAAATGTGAATTTTATCTGCCCTTATACGTTTCAGCTGAGAATCTGAAATGCTACTATATGGTGTGTACTGTATGTTCCTTGCCATCTGCTGGCAGAAATGTACTGCTTCATGTCCTTAAAATACAGTGTGCCTTTGTCTTTTTGTGTGGCACTGACAAATACTACTTTCATAAAGAGGTTAGAGTCAAAGCCAAGCCACCAATGTGTATTTTATGAATATTAATACATTGTAAAACGTTTTGTTTTGTAGCTGTCACTGAGCTGATGTGTAAAGGTAATATTTCCAGTGCTGCTTAAATACATGAATCGCCTTTCCATGCACTGATAAGGGCTAATTCAGGTGTACCTGAAGCTATTTACTGGGGCTAATTTATATAATAGAAAGGTTGGGCTAGCGGTCTTACAATCTCAGGCTCCATCTGAACTATACTTTCAAAGCAGTGGCATGGCACCTTAAACAGTGTGGCTTTCCCTAAGGAATCTTGGGAGAACGGCTACTTCTTGATGTGGTCTCCGCTGTTAATCATAAGCTCCTCTCCTCATGTTACAGGTTCAAGGCAAGGCATATAACATGCACAAGTCCATGCAAACAGCCCATCTAAACAGATAGGCATTTCAATGCAGGCAAAATGCAGCAGTTCATGACATTAGGCCTTCACAGTTGGTCTTAGCAAAATACTTGCAACAACTTAAGGAATGTCATTGATTGATTGAATTTACATCCTGCATAGCCCGTGTGTGTGTGCAAACATAGGCACATTAAAAAGTTACAGTTAAAAACATTCTAAAAGCAATTACTATGGAACCCATATATTTCAGCCTGTGACGTCAGGGTTGCCAGGAAATTTATTCTTCATCCACCAAATGCCTGGGCAAACAGGTGCATTCTTGAATTCCTTCTGAAAGTTTAGAAGGATGGAGACACATGCACCTCATTAGGGAAGGGATTCCACAGATGGGGGACAACCACTGAAAAGGCCCTGTCACAGGATAGCACCAACAAGGCAGTCCCACCAGCAGCACAATCCCATATGTACCTATTTACCAGAAGCAAGCCTTGTGGAATTCAAGGAGACTGCTGAATAGACGTATGTAGGACTGCCCTGTAAATGTATGTTGCGGTGCATTTTAATAGCAGCGGGGAAAGGGGGGGCTTTGGGGTTGGCATTCTGAAAAAGACCAGTCTTACCAATTTAGAGGTGCCATGGAGCCATGCGTGCTTCAAGTAGCAGAATAGGAAGAAGCTACATTAAATTATGGATGCAGAAGCTGGGACGCTTCCATTCCCTTAAAATTAAGCAGCCTTGCTGATGCAACATTTTATTACGGTTAGCTGCATTTGCTTTGCATCATGTCAAGGGAATCTGTGACCCATTTTTAAGATTGTTGGCACGAATATTTTTTTTGGGGGGGGCTTCCATCACTGTATCTGTGCCACGTCCCTTGCCTTGATTTCTTCGAAGGCAGATGTTCCTGAAATTGTTGAAGTCCTGAAATTCTAAAGAGCGGAAGTAATTCAGCAGTGAGTCACCAGCTACACACCTATGCATGCCTTTTCTCTCAAAAGACCACCACGCATACATCCCCTTTCACTTCCCTGCCTTCCTCCTGTCCTTATACCACCCTCTCCCCCCCCCAGCACCCCACTACTCCCTGCTGTCCTCCATCACCCCTCCAATTTACCAGGTGATGCTCCAGCCAACCACTGTGCTCATTTCATAAAAATGCCTCTCTGCTTCACACGGGACCCAGAGGCATTCTGGGGGGAATAATGATGGCACACTGCTGGAGGCTGGTGCTGTGAAGTTAATTTAAATATTTTGGGCACTGAGAGAAGTGCTGGTGATGCCAGGCTCCAGTAATAATATAATAATAATTTATTATTTATACCCCGCCCATCTGGCTGGGCTGCCCCAGCCATTCTGGGC